AAATAGAGACGAGTGCGTATATAGGGTAGACTAGTCCGTAGTGTCTTCCCAGGGGGTGATTCGAGTGTGTTCGATCACCCCCCAGTCACAGACTTTACTAAAAGCGGCCCCTGCCTATTTCCCCCAGTCGTTCGCAATATTCAACAGATTTTGGTGGAAGATTCAGATCGGACGGCCATGAGTTGTTGTTGCGGGAGCGGTAACGTCGCTGGAAGATGGTTACCAACTTAGGAAGAACATCCTCTACAGGCAGAGGGATCAGTCCTGAAAAGCAAACCCATCTTCAGTTCGATTCTCAGCGAGGACCCACTCTCCGCGAATGAAATGGTGCCATGTGGCAAACATACAAGATATTTGCTGAAAAGCTCCTTTTCTGATTCCTTTCTCTAGGGTCTATCCTGGACGATCCCTCCTTCCTTCATCCTCAAAACTTTTTGGGGAAGGTATCTAGAGACTTTCTCAGAGGCGCTGGCTGGAAGCTCTATTGCTGATTCGTTGCTGACCGATTCCCATCGGCTCATCCGCAATCATGGCCGGGGGTATCCTCACTCAGGTAGCTCCTACTCCTCAGGCGCACCAGAATGGCACCAAGCGGGCTCACCCGCCCTCTTCAGCAAAGGATGTCTCCGCTTACAGCGAACTGCAGACAGAGAGGCTGGAGTATAAGCCTGCCCTGCCTCCTGTCCTGTGCTCCCCATTGTCTTTGAAGCAGGGAGGAGCAACTACGTCTGCTGAACATCCAGGTGAGCATCTTTCTATACTGACATTCTGTCATGCTCATGTTCGACCATGTGGATGGGGTGGGTGTGTTGGTGCATCTGATCATGTCTCCAATATTGCAACATTACTGGCTGATGCTGCGACCAACCTTTCAAATACAGTGGCTGGTCACGGTTGCCTCTGTACATTGGTTGGTGATTGGGTGGATTCAACCATTGCCACATGCAGCTAGTGGGGCAATTGGTGCAGATCTACTTTTTTTAAGGATTCATTTGCATTCTTTAGGCTGCTGAGAAGGGCTCAGTGCTCAAGCAAAAGCTGTGGTTTGGCTTACTGACTAGGGATATTAGATGAGGGCGTGTAGATTGTTATACGGGTTCTGCAATTTTTTAATGTGGTTGCCACCATCTCAGATTGAGAGTCAATCAAGCCAGTCGAAGCTTGCATACGGGAAACGGTCGGCGGGACTTGTCCATTTCAATGTCACTTAATATATGTTGTACTGACTCGAAAGGCATTTGCGATTCAGTGCCTTTGATTACAAGCCATCCAAGTGGAAATTTGAATGCGGTTCTCGAATCCTACATTAGCTCACCCAATGAAAATGTGATGCTTGAGTGGTGGTTAAAGATTCTTTGAGATCTATGTACACCATTAGCAAAAAACCTCACTGCATCTGGTCGATGCTCGCCAACAAAGTGTTCTGCTCGCATTCAAGGGAACTTTGACAGTCCTTTGTAATGCCTGCGTTTCCTCTTTGTGGCTTGCTATTATGGTGCATAGTACTCTGATCGCCACAGTGACATTTATTTCGAAATCTAGCGCCGTCGATACCATTCAAGTTGCTTCTTTCCCCCAACTTTACAGATTCTGCAGTTTCGTCTGCAAGTCAAGATCGCTTGATCCACTAGAATGAGCAGCATTTCATTCCCTTTTTGTGATGGTACTCACTTTTAGGTCCCTCTTGCTTTTCCTTCTGCCAACCATATCAGGCCCTCTATTCATACATTCATGGGAAGCTGAAACCTCACTTCGCAACCGTCCCACATTTTCCTCTTCAAACAGATGGAAGACGGTACTTTTTGAGCACCTTAGTTCCACGATGTACCTCGTCACATTCTTTAACACAACCCTAATCACATTTTGACATTTTGGAAGGCGGTTTTTCTAACTTCCTCTGAAGTCTTTCAATCAAACCCAAATCAAGCCTTAATGTATCTCTCTCGAATTTTTCCTGCAGACCAGATCAAGGCGCTCTTCCCCAACCTGTATGGCAAGCCCAACGTTCACATTGTTGCTGACCCTCAGGGCAAGGCCGAGGCGCACACCGAATCTGTCAAGATTGGCGTTGTCCTCTCTGGGGGCCAGGCTCCGGGGGGGCACAATGTGATCTCAGGGCTGTATGGTGAGTTGGACTTTCTTTGTAGCTTTTAGGGATGGCACAAATCAAGAAAAGAGCCCGCTTGGTAAGCACCGATAGGTGGGGCAGCCGTTGAGTTAATGATTGGTTTACGGGCAATTGTCAACCTTGCATTTGTTGGCTTGCTTGCCTCCAGGGCCTTTCAGATTGTCTTCCTGAGAGACTTGATACAATCAAATTGGGCATTTTGCTGCATCGCCGGCGTTGTTGCTTGGATTGTCAACATATACCCTTAAACAGACTTTTGAAGCCTTGCAACATAAAGATGGTGTTGAACTGAAGGTGGTAAGACATGAATTGCAGGGGATGTTGTCTGGATGTTCTGTCTAATAATACCAACCCTTAATCTAGTGGTACACATGGCATGCAATGCAATGGCCTAGTGCATTGGGAGCAAGTAAGGACTTCGAGGTTGTATCGGACCTGAATGAATTTTTTTCTGGAAACAGCCCTTTCCTGACCCTCAACTCAAAAGATTCTTCGTCCAGGTCCAGCAACGGCCATGCCAGAGCTGTTCACTGCCAGACAATGCGCGTTAGTCTCTTTCGAGCCCCTCAACTTGCATTTTAAACCCCCTTTTTATACCCTGGCCGCCTCGTCTTTATGATCCTGACCCAGCCCTTACCTGATTTGCAGACTACTTGCAAGTCCACAATCCTGGGAGCACTCTCTATGGTTTCCGGGGTGGTCCCGCGGGTGTGATGAACTGCAAAGTTGTTGAATTGCACGCGGACTTTATTTACCCATACCGGAACCAGGGTGGGTTTGATATCATTGGGAGCGGCAGGGACAAGATCGAGAGTCCGGAGCAGGTGAGTCAAAGTGGCGGAGCAGCATCATCTGTCCAGGCAAATCACAGAAGAGTGCCACTCTGTTCCGGAGCACGAGATGATTCTCAGGGGCAGAGGCGTGTGACTGTGCAAGTTGTTGTTGGAGGAGCTCTCAGAAGTGAGTAATCGGGCGTACAAAATTCTTTGCTGGTACATTGTGGGTGGAATGACAGGCTCTCTCAACTCATGGTCCTCTTGTGAGTCCATGTATCTTCTAAAGCCCTGCGCTTGGGACTGATAGAGATTCATTAACATAGAACGTGGAAATTTTTTTAATTTCTGGAAAAAGATGAGGACTCAGGGCGTTTCTCTGACACACCGCTAGAGCCCCTCTGCAACCGACCCAAGCGTTCCGCATGATCCCAGGGAGCAAAAGTGGTAGGTGACAGTTAGTTCGGAGAAAGCACATAACAGGGGGGAGAATGTCAAGCGCAGGGCTAATAGAATGGAATATGCGCCCGTGATTTTCCCACATATAGGTCTTCAATGTCCTACACTAAATGTGTCAAGGGGCTGATGGGGCTCCATTCGCGTTGGCGCAGTTTTTGCAAGCGGAGGAGACAGTCAAGAAGTTGGACCTTGATGGGCTCGTGGTCATTGGCGGGGACGACTCAAACACAAACGCCGCAGTCCTTGCCGAGTACTTCCTGTAAGTGCCTTGATCCTAGTGCTCCGACCACATTCCTGTTGTCAACTTATGCCTGAGGGACCGCGACAAAAACGGTTTGAATTCTTCAGGGTTTGGCATTGTGGTGGCCGTGGCTCCAATTGCAAGTACGAGTCTTCTGTTGCATCTTTCCGATGCCAGTTGAATGCATTAACGGGGCGTGTTGCCCTTTATATACGATCAGAAAGCTCAGAAAGGATAATGTGGACTGCTTCCACACTGTCACATGTTGCACTGGCTCGGCGCAAAACACACGGCCGTTGAGGACCGGTGTATTTAAAACAACCAGCCCCGCAAGGGCACTGTTTCTGGCTTGACAAAGCTCTCCCTAAAGAAGGTTTTGCACAGCAACCAGGCAGCGACAGTCCTTGTCTGTGGATTCATACTTGCGGGAGTACATGAGCATAAGGAGAACTGGATGGACTTGGTAAATCCGTTTTCTGCAGGTCCCGGAATGTGAAGACCAAGGTCATTGGCTGCCCAAAGACCATCGATGGTGACCTCAAGTGCAAGGAGGTGCCTATCAGCTTTGGGTTTGACACAGCGTGCAAGGTAAGCCCGCTCGCAGCTGGAAAGTCAAGACGATAGCCCAGGATTTCAATGACTTTGGCGGAAATCGAGCAACCATCTGGTTATCGATTGGAGGCGAGGTGGCCGTTGTTCACAAAGGCAAGCTTGAGTACGAGGAGGCGCTGGTTCATAGAGGTCACTAGCGCGTTAATATTCGAAATCTGCTTCAATGACTCATGGTATTCTTCGTGTTGAAGACAAGATGTTGTTGACGGACTCTTTCCTGCGGAGCATGTCACATCTTTCACGCGAGTCCTAAGGAAGGGAGATGGTCTTCATGTGCAGCATTCGTTGATTGAAACGGCAGCGGTTCACGAGATCTTGCTTTTTTTTGGTTCAGATCTACTCGGAGATGATTGGAAACATCATGCTCGACGCCAAGTCTGCCGCAAAGTACTACCACTGTGAGTTACCAGCCCTCGAGTCTTTCCATCCTCGTTATTAGTTTCTCAGACCCGCCGCACCTATGGATCGAGCGGCCGGATGGCGTATAGGATATCAGTGCCTATTCGCTGAGTTGCTCGCTTTGGATTCTGGCTTTCCAAGGTACTCAAGAGACGCGTGAGTCCAAGGTTCTGGAGCGTTTTTCAATGTTCATGCAAAGGTGGGGGCCGAATGCAGTCTCTCCACGACGTTGAAAATCTCCAGGAAGCAAGTTCACGGAGTCAGCTTTTGCTGTCTTGCCATCTGCCGCAACCGTTTCGATTGGAAAAAATACTCTGTAGTTCAGCGAGTGTTGCGGCTAGCTTCGAAGTGCTGTTTTGAGCCACTGGTTCGTAGCTGCGCTCTGCAAAGTTTCAGAACCAAAACGTGCTGATTTTTTGATCCAATCGTAAGCTGACTGCAGTCGTCCGTCTCATGGGCCGCGCCGCATCTCACATCACGCTCGAGTGTGCCTTCCAGACCCGCCCCAACATTGCGCTGATTGGCGAGGAGGTATGCGCCTTAAAATTCTCATATGAAGGAATCAATGCAGTCGATGATTCCAGAACGGATGTTGCGCAGGCAGTTCTAGTTTTGAAGTCATGGAGAGGGACGAGGTTAGACTTGCTAGTATTCGTCAGGGCTTCGAAACAAGGACGCAAATAGCATGGTCTTATAGATCCCGGCAACTGTAATTGTCGTTCTGCTGGTCACTCACTTGACACTTGTAACTGCTTGTCAAGTGCGAGAATGCCCGAGACCGGGAGCAGAAAATGCATCGGTTGTAAGGAATGGGTCTTCTTTCCAATCTGCTCCTGAGAAGCCAGACCTTCCGATTTCGACTCTCATTCTAGGGCGACGTGGAACCCTCTTTCTAGGCGACCCTGAGCCTTTCTTGCCCGGTTCACAGGTCGCTGAGAAGAACCAGTCGCTGTGTGACGTCGTGAACAGCATGTGCGACGTGATCTGCAAGCGCGCCGAGGCCGACAAGAACTACGGCGTTGTGTTGATTCCCGAGGGGCTCATCGACTTCATCCCCGAGGTAAGCGCAGTTGCTTTGAGGCAGAAGTACAGAAGGATCTAGACCTGAGACAAATGATGAATTCTGTGGAACTGGAGATTCCATTGCGTACGCTGAACTCGATTCCCGAGTTGAGAAAAACATGGGAGTTCAGCAATGTAATCGTAGGGCTTCGTAATCGTCTTCACTTGTTTGGCAAAGACCAAGAGATGGTTGAAGAGCTTGGACGGAGGCAGAACGGAGTGACGGCATGCCTGGTCTTGCTTATCAACTGGGTCGATGCAGACTACCTTACTGTTGCACCCCATGGACTGCAAGGACGAAAGGATGAAGAAAAGTGAAAGGGCAAGCCCATGCTTGCCAGGTGCACCAATCAATTCGGTCCGCTCAAAACCGGCAACGTATATGAAAGTCACAAAAATGAAAGAGGGATCCAGAGTCCCCATCATTGGGTTGGGGACTCTGGAAGAAAATGTAGATATTTGCTGATGATCTCCATCTGAAGGAGAGATTCTTGCGCCCCCCAGGTGCATCACTTGATTAGCGAGTTGAACGACATCACCGCAGCGGAGGAGGGCCCCGTGCTGCCGGACGGCGCGTGGCGCGAGAAGCTGGGCGACAACAGCCGCGGCCTCTTCAACAGCTTCCCGCGCGCCATCCAGGAGATGCTCCTGCTCGAGCGGGATCCTCACGGCAACGTGCAGGTGGGGGGGAAGAATAATGATTGTCTTTCTCGCGGTCTTTTCAGATTGCTCTTTTTCCATCCCCGTCACATGGGACTCTGAGGTCGGCGTCCCTCGAGGTTCAGTATAAGAAGAAAACAGAGTGTCCTGTACAGTTTGATCCAGAAGATGCTAAGGCCCGCGGGCGAACCGGACGGGATCGTGCAGGTAGAGAAAAGGCCTTTCTCCCAAGCTCAGAGTCAAGGATTCCGCTGTAGCCTTGGATGTTGACTGAATTCAGAGCATGGCACCCTTGAACGTTTGAGCGGGGATTGATGAATTGTGTTTCTCGTACTGGATAGCATCGAGACTTGAGAGGGTACACCCCTTAAGATCATAGGTCTCGACCTTCCATCCTGTGCTGATCAGCACCGCCATGTGGAAGAATCGCGGCGGTTTTGAACTTCACAGTCGGCTCATGGTTCGCACGCAACTCGAGCAGCAACTTCCACAACATGCTCGTCGAAGAATTGTCCGAAGGTTCACGTTTTATCACCAATCGTGGGCATCTGTTTTAGTGGTTGGTGCAGCAGGATTTTGTTTCTTTGGTGGGCGCCTATCCGACCGCTTCCTTAAGTTTGCGCAAGCAGGAGTCCGTTGCCGAGAATGATGAACAGGGTACAAACTCGGCCCTGTGGTGGCCTCAGATATGTCAATTCCTGCTGACGTGGCCGCGTTCACGTTCTGCCAGGTGTCCAAGATCGAGATGGAGAAGCTGCTGATCGACATGGTGACCACCGAGTTGAAGTCGCGCAAGGCGGCCGGCCACTTCAAGGGCAAGTTCAATGCGCAGCCGCATTTCTTCGGGTGAGCGATGACCTTCATCCCGTCTCTCCATGCCCACTCCGTCTACTCTCGCTCCCCTCGTCTCCTACCTTTGCCACCTCTTTCGACATGCAGAACCCTCGATCTGGTTCTGTTTGCATTTGAAATTAGCATAAGACCTGACGGAAGATCCTCTATTCTCTCAAACCGCCCCATTCCTTCCATGGCGAAGTACGAGGACTCTCGCCAATCAGAGTTGATTTGATTCTGCTAGGTATGAGGGCCGGTGCGGACTGCCCACCAACTTCGACGCGACGTACTGCTACGCGCTCGGCTTCGTGGCGGGGGCGCTGCTGGACCAAGGCCAGACCGGCCTCATCTCCTCGGTGAGGTTTCAGTCCTAGACAATCAGGGTTTTGCGGAAGTTACAGAGAACAGGGTTTGAAGATATTGGGGTTCAAAATGGGCATTGGGTCTGGGATAAATTCGAATCAGTTCTGCCTGACTGGTGGGTGCCTGCGTGAGCCGCGCCCAAAGGTTGCTCGCACTGCTGCGTGAAGCCGGCTTTATCCGCGCTTGAATTCTGGTGTTTGCGCCTCTTATGCACGCTACCTTACTTGCTGTGCTTTCGGACTCTCGGTTCGTCTTGAGCTTGGTGCTCCAAATTCATCTACTTGCAGCTCATATCTTGTTCCTTCTCTTCTGAAAGCTAGCACCTTCTGACCCTGGTCCCTGTGAAAGCCTGTCTCCCCTAACCCTGCCTTGTGCAAGCCTTTGTTCTGGACTTTGTCTCTTCTAACCCAGCGACTTCTGACTCCGCGTTTTGTTCTCCTTGGCAGGTCGGGAACCTGGCAGCCCCCTCCAACGAGTGGACCGTTGGCGGGACCAATCTGACTACCCTCATGTGTGTAGAAAAGCGCAAGGGTAAGCCCTTCGGGCCGACTTATTCTCTTTCTTTCTGCTCCATTCAAGTGAGGGTGCATTAGCATGAGGACCCAGGGATTAGGCGACTATGTTGGCTGTCATGTTTTGCAAGGATCTTTCTCTACCTATGGAGTCGGTCTTCTTTGTCTTCGTCCCATGCTGCCTATTGACCACAATCCAAGCTACTTACGGGACAGAGATGACATGCCCTTGTGAGTATTCAGCAGTCGAGCGCGTCGCTGTCACATTCTAAATATGGAAAGTGCCACGTCACAAGAGCCACGCAGCTAGAGCTGGGGACCTTTCTTGGTTGAAATGATGAAGCTCGGCGTGTCTGCCACGGCCGAAAGCTTTAATGATTGAATAGGTAGCCCCTACATTCTGAAAGGGAATTGGAGCGTAGATATTATAAGACTTTGCTTCCTAAATATGAATTATCTTGGCTGTTGCGGAACCCTGGGATGAGCTTCACAGCCCGTCCGCTTCGAAATGCTGATACCGTTACACTCTTTCTCGCAGGCAAGAACAAGCCCGTCATCAAGAAGGCCATGACCGAGCTCAACGGCGCGCCCTTCCTCCAGTTCGCCGAGCAGAGGGACCGGTGGGCCGTCGAGGACTGCTACAGATGCCCGGGTGAGTACCGGCGTTTCCACGTCAAGAGTTTTTGGTCTTGGGGTTTGAGGTTGTACTTTGGAGGTCTGGTTCTCTTTTCCGGAGCTTGCTTCTTTTAGCTGGGGTTCTGGGATCCAAGTCGCGGGCTTCGAATCTTCGGATCGTCGATTGGGCACTCGGGGGTCTGGCTTTTAGGCAAGGATTCGTTGCAACTCCATCTCAGGTTATGCAGCATCTGCAAGCTCGGTGTTTGAAAAGAAGGCCAGCCTTAACGCGTGCGCCAGTTGATCTGGTTCGCTTCGTTATTGTCAAAACCGGAGTTGAGTGGTCCCACACAGTTAACTTTTCGTCCTACCAGGTTCGTAACAAGATCGAAATTCAGCCAACATGAGCAATGGACCGGCGCAACGGCGGTTTTGTCTGGTCAATTTTTTGGGGGGAAAAAGGTCCTTGTGATAGAATGGATGCCGGGCAGGGTTCCAAAGAGCATACGATCATTCTTGCTCCCTTGCAAAACGACTTCTGACCGCTCGAAATTCAAAGCTCAGATGGCGCGGCACTTCTGGGACCGGCAAGTCATGCTTTGGGTCTTGATCTTCCATGCGGATCGGACCCTTCCGCCAATGCGACCGGAACGCACATTCTCACATTCTCGGTTTCCCTGCTCCGCTTGCAGGCCCAATCCAGTTCCACGGACCCAGCGCCGAGAAGAGCAACTTCACCCTGGTGTTGGAGCAGGGTGGCCTGCAATGAATTGTGCGGAGCGCGCTATAGACTGCCCTGAGGTCGACCGTTGTTGGTTGAGAATAGTACATGCTGGTAGAGCTGAGCACATGACCGCCGCTTTGAGTAACCCTTGGGGGTCATTGGGTGGTTGCGGGATAAGAGGCACGTATGCTTGTGTAGAGGTTGTTTCCGGAAGTTATAGAGGTCCTGTTGTGTGTCATTGTCAAGATTTTAAAGCGTGTTGCTGACGTTAAGGTATCGGGTACCCAGTTTTGCATGTCGGCGGCGATCCCGTAGGGACGTGATGCCCAGCTAGATTGAGGATCATGTCAAACGTTCTCTTCAAGAGTCTGCTTTGTAACTTGTTTTTGACCGCGACGTCAACGTCGATGTCCTGGGTGGACTGCAGATGACAGACGGCCGGAACTGCAGACAATGGATCTTTCGAATCTTTCACAAAGAAGCATGAATTCGATTGCAAAATATATATTGAAGGGGAGGACATGACGCAAAACGAACAGCTAGGAAGCGTTGCCACTTCCATATGCGACTTATAAAGAACGCGAGTGCTTGTTGAATGCAATCAGGCCCGCTCACGGTGACTTGATGTGTCGGATCGAACTCCCAAATGCGCAGTGCTAAGCCTAGTGGACTTACGGCAGCGAGGAGATGCGCCGCATGCAATGGCAAATACGAACTTCGCAATTTGACCGAATTACGTCATATCGGTATGGATTGCATGGCCACCTGCCGGATCTCTGCCCGGGATGCCTGCGAACACGACCCCCGACATTTTGAAGTCGTCAAGCCGCGCAAACCCGCCAGTATATATTAATTGACTGATTAGTACCAGGCCCTGCAGGTCGGACTAGCGTTCACCTTTTTGCCAGACGATCTCTGCAATCAATGTGACTTAAGCCTTGGCCGCACTGTTGATTGAACCGGGATTTCCATGCATGCAAGCTGCCGAAAATTCGCGCAATGTCCGACTTTAAGGGACGCTAATTATTCGTCAATCTTACGTATAAGATCTACTCAAGTTTTGATTCGTACGTACATAGTCAACACGCCAACCAGAGTCAGGCAAACGCACCATGCATGCATGGATGCCGCCCAAACTACTCCTCTTTGAATGCCTTGGTAAAGAGTCGTATAGACGCTCTTCTCTTCAGGTCCAACACCCTAACGAGACCACAGATCAGCATCTGTGAATCAGTCGGCACAAGCATACCCATTTGGAAAAGATTGGGGAATATCTGATGTGATAAGCCATCTGCGTTTTTCCACCTACGCTTTTTGCACCGTTGCATTTGGCTGATGGCGGATCATGATCCGACAGTAAGCAAGGAGTCACATCGAATGGTACGCAGGGCGGTTCGATTGATGGGGACCACTTGATGGGGACCAATAGCAACGATTCTCAGCTTTATTTCTTCCTCATCCTGACAGTGATCAATCATAGTACCGCAGTCAAGCAAGAGACCCCCCAAGATCTGTGAGCTCGCCCGCCAGGTGTGAAGCCAAGCACGCTGCCACGTTGTCGAGTATCCTGGATACTTGTGTGCAGATTGATAGATCAATATGGTGAGGAGGACGTCAAGAACGATGCCCCCGATCGTTAGGGGTTTCCTTAAAGTCTGGGTTAGTTCGGAGGTTACGACAAAGGGGCAGCTAACACACGTCGTTCCTGGGCGCTGCATGCGTTACTCTCAGGTTTCCCCTGGTTGTAGTAACGGATCTCCAAACGGAGTGATGTTACCGGGCTTCACTAGCTAAGTACATGATTTGATTCACTCCCCTTTGCATTATAACCGGGATATCCGCCAGCACAAGGAGAGTGTTCGGAACGGGCACTGCTTTCCGTGTCTGGTAAGGGGTGCGCTTCTCTTGGCCCCTTACTTGGGGGCGTCGCGAAAAGTTCGCGCGAGAAACCACTCATCATTGTGGAAGGCTATTCAACATCCCAAACAAGAGGCGCTCAGGATAAAAACTGCTCAAAAGACCCCTCCGTCTCAGCACTTTCGCGTAAGGGAAGAAGCATCATGGCGCGGGCTTGAGGTGGGCTTCGGCTGAAGAGGCACAATCTCAATACGAGTAACATGCTTCTTCCAAAAGATTTCGGACCAGCACTTTACATACTGCAACAACTCTTCGACTTTAGGAGCATAAAGAGGCGCACTTTCATGCAACTCTCTTCGCTTCTTGTGAATGATAGTCCCATCGCAAAAACGAGTCTACGCATCTTCAACCAGCAAGATTTGTTGGCGCTACTTCACTTGCTTCCAGTCCTGATTTATACTCTTAAATAAATAAGACTCCTACAAAGACCCTCCTAGAGGAGGAAAGAACCCTTTTCACAAGCAAACATGGCGCCGGAAAACGGCCCCTTGCCTCTTTCCTCCTTGCTCCTCCTTCTCGCGCTCTTCTTTGGACAGCTGTCATTCCTTTCCGCTCAGATCACCATTCCGGTCGCGCGACAGCCCTTCCCTCCTCACCACAGCGCATCGCAGAGCGCCGCCAAAGCGGCCTACTTCAGCAGCTTCGTGGAGGGAGGGTCCGCCAGCACAGCCGTCCCCCTTTCGGGGGGAAACCTTCCCCTGGGCCTGTTCCTGGTAAACGTATCACTGGGCACCCCCCCGGTAGATGTCCCGGTCATCATTGACACCGGGAGTAGTCTATGTTTCGTTCAGGGGCCAGACTGCACCTCCTGCCCGGGGCCAAGCGTGTGCCAGAACAGCCCCTTTTCGGGGGGGTCGAGCTGCCCGTACGCGGGGCCGACATACGACCCCCTGGTTTCGAGTACGGCGGTCACCGACCCCCCATGTGGGCGGTGCGCGGCGCCTGGGGGGATAGGAGATACGGGCTGTCTGGGAAGGGGCTATTCGGAGAACGGCACGTGTCAGTTTGAGATCGGGTTTGGGAGCGGCAACGCGGCAGGTTGGAGTTATCTGTTTACAAAGTGCTTCTTATTGAGTTTTATGGTGAGAAACGGAGCGCCATGAAATGGATAATTCACGAGTAATTTGAGATCAAAAGCTCAATCTGTCATTACAAGTGTCTTGAAGGAATCTAGGCAGTGGCTTTCGTCCCCGTTGAAAGCGACAGGATCTGAATGTTGGGTAAAAGAATGTATCTGCAGATTGCAACGACTAGGAACGACCCACGTCCTCCGACATGTTAAATAGAAGAACTTATATGCTCCCATTCAAAGCGTCAGAATTTGACTGCGGGTGAGGGAATGTACGAGCAGGTTGAACTCAACTTCAAGGAGCTAGCTCTGAGGTCTCACGAACGGGATTACGTCCTCACAAGCCTCGACAACTTCAATCAAGAGCAATTAGATCCTCGAAGTTGTGTTCGAAGTCCTCAAGCAACCGGATTTACTAACGAATCTCAATCTACCGTCCCGCTTATGATGCAGGAAAGTACGTTCAGGATACGGTGTCGGTAGGTGGGGTCTCCTCCGGGGAAGCCCGCATATTTCTCGGAACGACAACTTTCCAGGCGGGCTTTGAGCAAGGCGCGGCCGGTCTGTTTGGGTTTGGGCCCACAGCCACGTCGTTGCCATTCCAGCTAAAGGAGGTGGGCTTATATATAAGCCCATCTCCTTATATCCACATATTACGGGTGGCTTTTGAGTATACTGCCGTTGGTTGAGAGCTTGATACTGTATCTTACAGTAGAGTACTGGTATAAGTGCGTAAACGCAGAAATCCGCTTCGATTGTTCGGGCTTGCAAAGACGTCTCCCCTAATGAAGGTCCCTCTTGAACCTTTTTGATAACAAATTGCTTCGAACTGCGAATGTATCTGCTTAGAACTTCTCATGCAATCCATTTCGCTCTTATTTGGAGTCGGCCCTATGATCGTTTGTCCTCCTCTGTGACTTAACTGTTCCTGTTTCAATCGACTGTGTCCGTCCTCTGAACAGAGCGGACTAGGAAAGTGACGTCGCCGCAAGCTTCGCGCGCTCTCCTTTCTCACACATGTCTGTTTTACGTCCCACACCTATTCCCCGCTTCGTCTCACCCTCAGCTCCAGCCCCTTGCTTCAGTCTCGCGCCGTTTTCCCAACCCCTCTTTCGTGCCCCCCTTCAGGCGGGCGCTCTGCCTTCCTCCACTTTCGCTCTCTGCCTCGCCTCCGGCCACAGCACCGGGGGCACGCTCTTTCTCGGGGGGGTCCCCACCCAGCCGGACGGTAGCCCCTACGCCGTAACCTACACGGGCCCCCTGCTGCAAAACCCGTCGGTCGAATTCGCCATCCCGAGTGCGACGGACGTTCTGGTGAACGGAGTTCCGGTGCCCGGGGCGGCAGCGAAAATGGAGCGGGATGCGGAGAGGGGTTCCAAGTGGATCGTGGACTCAGGTGCGGTTCCTTATATGGAATCCGTTAAGCTGAGAAGGATTGTGGGAGAGGAAAGGCCGATATTTGCTCCTGTTTGAGACGAAGAGTAATTTGTTAGCCCTGGTTTCTGGCATCGAATTCCAGGAGCGGCTTTCGAACAACTGTTTCCTTTCAGAATCTTACCTCGAGCCAGTCTCAGGGATCTGCCAAGTTCTTCGTAACAGATTCGAACTGAGAACAGTTTAAGATATTGCAAGGAGTAACCTTCACTAACAGCGTGATCCGCCCTGGTAGGACGGAAAAACTCAACCGGGGACTTCCTATGCAACCTTGAGCGTTCTCCTGCAGGCACTACGCTCACGTTTCTTGAAACACCAATTTACAACAGTTTGTTCGGCGCCATCCAGCTGGCCACCGGGTGCCTCCACTCCGTCTCTCTCGGCGGTTTAGACTACGTTGAGTGAGTTGTTTCTCTCTTTTAAGTTCCTCGGAAAACAACCTTCAAATCTCAAATCGTGCGGTTTGCCCTACGAGGCCTTCTGCAATATTCACAAACAAGCATTTCCCGAAATAAGGAAAAAGTCCGGACGCTTGACAAATAGGTCCTCGAAGATGGAAAAGGGATAACCATGCATGAACCGACCCGCTTTCGAACGGCTGAAATGGAACTGAACGGCCATTCCTGTCAATCATCGCATGGCAAGGGGTCAAAAGGATGGACAGGCATCTGCGAATCTGGAGTTAGTCGTCTAAAAGTGGGAAACAGTAGACTGCGCTGGGTCTTCTGCAGTGACATCGGCAGCGCACTAGAGCAGCAAAGAAACCGCCCAGTCTAAGTTTTTATCCTGATTAACCAGCAGACGTGGACGAAATGATGCTTCGAGTTCGATCAATGTCCGAAATATCGTCACCATCAGTCCACCTGTCGTGACCGTCCGATTGACCCTCGTCCGTCTGACGCGCGTCGTACGCTTTGCCTTTGTGCAGTCTCACGACGTGTAACCCACGTGAGTAATCTTCCGTTGCGCTCTACTTTTTGTCTGATGTCTGCTGTTCAGTATCCTTGCTCGACGTCCGTGCTGCCTTTTTGAAAGATTGAGCGGTACGGAGTAGCAATCAGCGCTTCCGCTACTGGGCGAATGATCAGGAAAGTGCCTTGAAGTATTCTGAATCTAAAACCTGACGGTAAATGAAGGGGTTGGCCCCGGATGGGGGCGATCCTTCGTTTTCCATCATGTCGTGAGCATGTCTATAGGAGTCGAGAGCCGAGTAGGCCGCAGTGAGTCGAGACCGGCGGTCGGAGGTAGGATCGGGTAGTGTGTCTAGCCGGTCCCGATACGAGCCGGCAAGGACACGGTACCGCACGGCAGCATCCACCTCGGCTGCCTCGTCGACCGGATTCGTGCTAGCAATCAGCACGGAAGCGTGCTGGTTTACCGTCCAGGATACTGGTTTAGCGGTGCTTATCTTTCTTCGACTGGATGGTTCAAGGAGAAGGTGACTGACAAACCCTCGCAGCTCGGACTGATTCTCCGCAGCTTTCCTGACGTTTTCGGACGGGGAGATTTCTGCGCGCTTCCCGACGCTCACGCTCCAGCTGCAAGGCACGCAAGCGATCGCGCGGCCGGCGTCGTATACCTCCCGGTCCCAAAACGCTATGGGGCCGTTCGTTCACCCGGGGATCGCCAATGGGGGCGAAGGCAATGGAACATGGGTCATTGGTGACAGCTTCCTCACGGATAACCTGGTACGGTGAACTAAATCCGACGGCAGCAAACCGGGCTAGGAGACGACTCTGGCAGGCTAGTATGGTCTTAATTTGCTTCCTTTTGTGCTTCAGAACCTAATTTCCGACCCTAACGAATCCGTGTTGAGGACCTTTGTGGGCATCACTTGAAAGCGCTGCGGGCGTCCTGATCAGAAGTCGGCTGCAACATTCCTTCTGATCGCTTGCGAATTTGGAGAGCAAAGCTTTTTAGAACATGAACGGCTGCAGTGACTGCTTGGAAGCTTCAACGTGTTCCTTTAACTTCCACAGTTTACCGCTAACTTCTACAGCCTCATAAATTTGCCCTACGGCACAACTCTTCCCGCTGCATCCATCAGGTCATTGAGCATCACACCGTCTCGATTTGTAGAGGGGAAAAAGGACCTTTTAACTAGTTCTCCCACCATGAAGATACGGAATGGTACGTCAAAGCCTTGGCAGTTCTGGTCTCTTTCGAGTACGCAACGAGCTGAAATTCTGGCGCAGAAGCGATGTATACCTTGACTTGCCCGATTGTCCAAGTCGTTTTTGTGACAGGTAGTGTTCGACGCAGAGAACAGCAGGGTGGGCTTTGTGAGCGTGGACTGCAGCACTATGCGTGAGTTGGCCGTTCACAGCATTTTGTGATACCGAGCGCTAGTACCTTTCGTTCTGGAAACAGGCAACACAGAAAGATACGACGGAAACAATAAAAGAGGATCTTCGGAGAGCAGACTCAAATTCCGAGGACATTTACGTCTAAGTGCAGAATCTTAGAGAGTTGCTGAAGCGCGTGCATACGATTCGGTTAACGGGCATATTGTGAGTTAAGGAAACAGCTCCGCATTGGTGACGAAGAGTGGCGGTATAGAATAGCATGTGACGTCGTCGCACATCAGGAGCGTTGACACCTGGACTTGCGAAGCACAGTTTATTACTCGAGATGTCTTGAAACGACCTTCAGATTCTTATTCTACCATTATAAATCCAGGTCAACGGACAGTCGGTTGAGTATCATTTGTCGCCACTCTGTAAACAACGTTATCCTCATCATGTGGTTTCCTTCAATGAAAGGATCGAGTAAGAAATGTGTCACATGCTAGCCATGAACCGCGGCCACTCGGCCGGCCCATATTGTGAAATGTGGCAACGCTTATTTGCATATGAGTCATTCGCTGAGTCCTTGCGAGTTAGGTTACAGCATGGATAAACTTGTACCAAACCAGCCGACGGTTTCCATGTATCAGACATCGACCTTGGGTGCACTAACTCTTGATGGCAGATGCCCTGACGCCCACATCGTTGGCCTGACGTAATGACTCAAGAATTGCACTTCGAGACAAATCTGCCCCTGCGCCGCTCTGTTTCAAGACCGCCCCAACCTTGACTCACCTCTGAAAGTCATCAGCGAGCTGAGACTCGTCAAGCTAGAAGATCGTCCGGCGTCCCGGCTCTTCCGTCTACTTCCGTCTTTGAATCCGTTGGCGGAAGCGCTTGGGCGGAATCCGGTCGTTCCGGGTCGGAATCAAGACTCATGAAGCGGAGGGACGGAACCGATTTTCCAGCGCCGTGCTTCTCTCCCACTATCCCAGCCAGGGCCATGTGCACATGCAGCGACTTTCTTGCCACCATTCTTGGCGCCTTCTTTCGCTTGGTAGGTAGATAGCTCGATCTGCGCAGAGCAGCGCGTCAGCAATGTCGTTGCTACCTCGCCTCCTGCTCGCGCGCCACCTCAGCAGGCGCGCGATCCAGACGCAGCTGCAGGCATGCATTGAAGGGACGACCTCTGTGTCAAGCGAGTCCTTCGCAATTGCCATCGCAGAGGGGCCAGCTCTAGCCAATAAGGTGCGTCAGAACAATGCTGACTATGTGCTTTCTGTGATTTTGCTGCAGAAGGGTTTTGCTGCTGCGGGTTGTTGATTGCTCGTTTCCAAATATCATCTGCGCGGCATTCTTGCTTTGTCGGCGTGCTGCATCAGAATCTGTAGACACTGATGGTTTGAAAATCCGCGGCTGTGTCATTGGACTTCGGAATCCAAGACTATGGTAAAGTAGACAGGTTTCGGTGGACAATGAATACACTCATGGTGAAAGTGGAGCGAACAGTATAGTCCTTGCGATCTGGATCGCGGTCAGTTTGCAGATTGAGGATGAGATTGTGTTCATTTAACCTCTGTGATACATTTTCAGAAGGTTGCACGCATCAATTGGAGATGAAGTTTTAAAGCAGAGGATAAATGTTTTAAGCCTCCTGATCAAAGCCTGAGCACTCGGCTAATCAGGTTGATCCGGCACTTGCGGCCGGATCTCCATTAGTTATGACTCTATCTGGGATTAAAAGCGGCTTTTCTCCAAAATTGCATTGGTCCAGACTGCGAGTCAATGAAGTTTGTTTGCATCTTATGTAATGTGTTGTATGGGATAAGCACTTTGTGTATAGTTTCAGCAGTCCATCGCTGTCTGGGAGCTCCAAGTAGTGGCCGTCGAAAGAATCAAAGCACTGCAAACAAGAAATCAATCTGTGGTTTGTGGACTGATGCAGAGATGCTCTCAAATGCATGCAAAGCTCTGTTCTCCAGCCGCATCAAAAACTAGCAAGCTCTGCTGTTTGCAGCCATTCACCACATCTTCCTTCCCCAACCTGAAAAACAACTCCAACAAGCACACTGCCAGACCTCCCTCTGCCAAGCCGCACGTGCACAGCGCAACCGCCAATGCGAGCGCGGCAAGTGGCGGCCTCGCGGCTGGCCAGAAGGTGGTCGTCGGAACCGCCGGCAGCAGCGCAACCCCCGCCCCCTCCCCAACAGTAGAGACCCCCGCCGCTGACATCAGCAAAGTAAATGTTCCAGTTCATGACACGGGGGCTGCTCAGGCGGCGCCTATTTTTGGCGCGCAGGGAAGCCCAACCACTAAGGGGTTGAATTCGCCCCCCGGGACAGGGGGGGTGGGGGCGGTCTCAGGAGCTGGGGGGCCAAGCGCGGCTCCTTCTGGCGGGGGGGAGGGAGCAGGGACAATCTTGTTGCTGTTGGCGGCATTAGGTGCCGGTGGTGGTGCATATTACTACTGGGACGATCTGAAGGGCTATTTGCCATTAGGACCAGAGACAACTCCGAAGGGGGTTGCTACAGCGGTGTCGCCGAAGCAGGGGGGAGAGCAGAATGGAAAGGGAAGTCAACAAGGGGCGGCGGACAGGGGAGAGGCGGATGAGGGAACGAGGTTGCCTCAGAAGAGCAGTACTTCGGGAATCCTTGGTGGGAAGAACGGGACTGGAGATCTGGCAGCTAAGCTGAGCGGTGCGGCGAAGGTAGCAAATGCGCAGAAAGATGCGGAAGTTGCTGGGGAATCAGAAGGAAAGGAGGCAAAAGCAGAGGGTTCCGAGCAGGAGAAGAAGCAAGCAGGGAACCAAAAGCCGGCAGAGGGCAAGGCCCCATTAGTAGGGGCAGCATTCGTAGGCAAGCCGGTTGCGGCGTCCCAAGCGGCATCTGTAGGCGCGTCCGAAGGCAAGCTCGACACTGCGGGAGAGGCGGCGTCCGAGGCCGCGTCTGAAAGCGCCGAAGCTCCAGTGTCCGAAGCGTCTGAAACTCTGCGTGAGGTTGAGAGCGGGCCCGCACGTGCAGGCGGTGCACAGGGGCCCCAGGCGCCCGTGCAGGCGTTGCTGGACGGCACCGCTATTGTCCGCAAGGGGGAGGAGCAGCAAAATGATGTCAACGGGAAGGAAGAATTGCATAAAAAGAAGTCTGCTGAGGTCAGCAATGAGGGGGGAGATGAGGGTGATGACGAGGACAGTGATGTCAGCGATGAGAGTGAGCGGGACGCGGAGCTGCACAAGGTGTTGCAGGAGGCGGCGAGGCGGGAAGGGGGCGAGGAGGAGACGGAGGCCTCCAAGAAGGCGAAGCAGCACGTGCACAACGTAAGGCTTTTGGGGAGTCAAGCGGTTTGGATTTCAGGCCTTTAACGTCACTGACGTAATCTGTCAGTTGCGCGCAGATTGAGACTCAATTCTGCTGTTTTTCCATAAGCTACACCAAGCGTTCTTGAAAACGTAGCAGATGTTTCGAGTATGGTCCTGCTGAGTGTTGCTGACTCGAGGTAGACGTGCACGTGCTCCTTGGGATCCTGCAAAGCCCTTCAAGAAAGGCTGTTGCGACGTGCACGGTCACTGCGCTGTAAGAAAGGTCTAAGTAAGGCCTGAGTCGATCGCTTTATTCTCGGCACTGAATGCGGATTGCTTCTCCCGTCTCTCATGTGACGAGGAGGGGTTGATTCTCTTGTTGTTGCTGCAATCTGAAATATGCAGCTTTGCCCCGCAGCTCCGGCGTGCGGTTGAAGAGGTCGAGAAACGGACCTCCGGCCAGAGCGAGTCCCTAGCCCCCGAGAGCCTCATTCTTGAGAACATCCGCAAGACCCACGAACGCGCCGAGACAGCCAAGCGCGAAGCGGAGAAAGTGGCGCATGAAGCCCTCAGGAAGCGACAAGAAGAGGAGGACGAAGAGGAGTCCGGCCCTTTCAGGAGGCCGAGCCAACAGGAACTTCTGGCGGCGAAGAGTCCGAAACTTGAGGGATTCGAGGAACTAGCGGCGGGTGTTCAGACGTTGGCGGCGGAGGCAGATCGGCTGAAGCGCGGGGAGTTCGGGTACTTGGGGGCCAAAGGAGATGTAGCAATCGGAGCGCTGATTGCAGAGGTAAGCGTTTGGTCTGAGCGCTTCGTGTATGGCAACCTCGAAATCGGACTCTTTTGAGTATCCCGTATGTACTAAAACGGCTTTGAATCCGTTTGCTGGTCAGAGTCTGGAACGCGCTCTGACTTGTGCTGCTCTGCCTGTGCACACCATCCAAGACCTGCTGGCGGCCAGCGAGCCTGATCAATCTACGGACTTCATTGTTGTATCGTCCAATCCATCACACCTCCTCTGCCCCGAGAGTATAAAGGAAGGATTCGAACCCGGTCCAGAACCGCAAGCAGTGGAGTCTTTCGGACTGAGAACAACTTGCATTCGTCAACTCTGCAGGCGATGTAGGCTGCCACGTGTTATTATGCGGACGCCGAGTCTGCACCCCATAGTGAACATTAAGAACTTCCAAATTTGAAGATTTTGGTCACCTGGGCACCTTTAGAGCAAAGGAAACAAGGACTGGTGGATTTGGAGATTTGACATGACACTTACTGATGCAAATCTCAATGCAGGCGGTACAGGAGGCGATGCTCGGGCAGGCGGAGGCCCACTCGGAGGCCTTCCACTGCGGATATGGAAACTCCGAAACGGGCAGAAAAATGGATTTTTTTAAAAACGACTTCAGAATTGGACATAAGGTCGTCGTCAGTCTCTTTTGCAGGCGGTTCAGGAGGCGTGCGCAGGCAGGCAGAGGCCGACTCGGCGGCGTTCCAGCGCGAATAGTATGGAACCTACGAAACGGGTAGAAAAAACGGAATCATGGAAAAACGACTACGGAAACCTGACATAAGGTGGTCGTCGGTCTTTGTCGCAGGCGGTACAGGAGGCGGTGCGTGGGCAGGCGGAGGCCGACTCGGAGGCGTTCCAGCGCGAGATCGCGGAGCTGCACGAGGAGCACCGGGTGGAGCTGGCGGACGCGCGGGCGGAGGCGCTCCGGCACGCGCAGATCGTGCACAAGCTTGAGAGGGTGAGCCCGGGTTTCCGCTTCTTTCCATGTTTATCCTCCTGGCGCGAGACAGAGCCCTTACCACTTGAACACCCTGAGAAATCCGCACGTTTTTAAACAAACGTCTTTCTCGTTAGGATTGACGGGCACATGTCGTGCTGTGCTGCACGATCAGTGGCACGGCGGGGGACAGATGCTCGTTGCGATGCCGCAGGGGATCTACCTGACAACGAGAGTGCAACAATGTGAAAGTCTGATTACTGGTGGGCAGAGATCTGACCCGCAAGAAGGCCGCCTTCCGTGCGGCGCCGCATGATTAGTGGCGGCGCGAGGAGGAGAAGCACATTCCATGCAGGTGGTTTTACGGAAGGCACAACTTTCTCAAAACGCCAACACGTCGCATATCCTCAAAGTTTGTATACATTATGTGCAGGACCTGACCCGCAAGAAGGCCGCATACCGTGCGGCGCTGCACGACCAGTGGCGGCGCGGGGAGGAGAAGCGCATTGCGGCGCTGCAGGCGGCGCTGCGCGAGACAGAGGCTCTGATCGAGAAAGTGCGGACCACTGCGGCCGCGAAAGCCGCGCTGACGGTTGCGGACGAGAGGAAGGAACGGGCAGAGCAGCTGGATGAACTACGGATGCAGGTAGGAGGATGCTTTGGGTGGCTGACTACGGTTTTCTAAAGAGGTTTCTGCCGTCTGGAATGGTACTTGGGAAGGGTTTGTGCGTCCGATCTTCAAGTCCAATGAGTTTGCTGCAGTTTAGCCGTTGCTTTACTTTTCTCACAGCCTCTTGCGTCATCCTCGCCACTTTCCCCCTCACTTCTCGACCTTCAGTACCTCATCTACACCAGTCGATCAGCCGGTCCTGCCAAAGGTACAGTCCAAGATTGTGCCTCGCGCGAGAGTTCAAGGTTTCGAGGGCGGCAGATTGAACGCAAAGAGCTGTAGCAAGAGTGGCTGGCTGATACGGCCCCTCTAGTGTCATCCGCAGGTAAATGCCTCAGCCGGTGCTTTCAAGCCCCTTCGAGTAGCAAGCCTTATGTGATTGACTGGTCGTCCTTCTTCTCGTTTTGTAGGTGAACGCCCTCCAGGACGCTTTCAGCAGCCGATCTCGGGAAGCGCAGAAGAGCCACACCGCCCACAAGCTTGCCTTGGTGAGCCCCCACGTCGTTTGGCAACTGCTGTCTGTCTATTGATCTCAAATGTGCAAGTTTTGCCCTTGCACAGATACTCGTTCATTGACCACATTGTAGGCGAGATTACCGAAGCTCGCATCTTTCTTTGAGGTGCATGTTCTGGTCAGGTTGGAATGCTTGTGAATTGACGAGAGCATATGCGAGACGCCAGGATAACCTTCAGCTTAGTTACCTTCCTCGACTTGTATCGCTTTTGAAGCCGCACTTTCGGCCGTGTCGTATGCTTCGGCCTAACTCAAGGACACAAAAAGAGACTGGAGTAAACGCGTGGTCTTGAGTGCCCACTGCTTTGTTTTCCAGCCTCGAGTGTCGTTTCTGAAGTCGCTCTCGCAGTATCTTGACTTGCTGTATACACTCCTGTTCGAGGAGCAGGGCGACAACAATTTCCGTCGTCTTCTGACATTACGTCACATGCGTGTGCCCACTTGAGATGATGTTGCAAGCGCTCAAACTTGACGCTTTCAAAGCCACATGTGTTGGCTCTTTCCTTTGCATGAGGCTTCTAGAAACACATTGTTGACTCTTTGCTTTGCAGGGCGCGTTCGCATTGGAAGACGCTCTAGAGAGCGGGCAGCCGCTGAAGGAGGAGGTCCGTCTGCTGGCAGCGGCGGTGGACGAGGGGGATCCCCTCGTCATGGCCGCGCTCACGTCGGTTCCGGCCGTCGTTGCGGAGACAGGGGCGCCCACGAGAGCGGAGCTGCAAGAGCGGGTAGGAATTGGATACCATCCAAATCAAGGGCGTTTCCATGCCCGTTCGTGTCAATTCTGACGGTGCCGAGATTCTCAGCAGACTGCCGTCGCAAAGCCTACTCAATAATATATTGAACCTGCCGGTGTTTACGAGAGCCGTCTGTGAACCCTCGACTGTTCTATAGGACTCTTGCGGCACCAGCATGTGTGGGATATGTGTACCTAGTAAGTGTATCATGCAGACAACGTCGTAATAGAAAGCGCTTGGCATCGAACGCTTCCTGATGGGGCACGCCCTCAAGAGACCACTTTGATGGTACTTGAGCGTCGGGAGAGTTGTGTACTGTTTCACCAAGCGAGTCGTCCAATTGCAGATCTGTAAAGTTGGTCTGTGATGCACCAGAATATCTTCTTGGCCCAGACGTAAGGCATTGCAGAGCGTCTCCTTCAAATCAGGTCAAGTTTTCGCTGCAGCCTTCGCCTAAGCAAGCTGAGCCGGCCTGGATTTGTAACCCTTCTTTCACAACCCCGTGCAGTTCGAAGCGCTGCAAGGCCGCGCGAAGCAGTTGGTCCTCCTCCCCCCGGGCGGCGGGGGCATGCTGGCGCACGCGCTCGCATGGGCCGCATCCACACTCAAGGTCAAGGAACCGGCACCTCAGAACGGTAGCCAACCAAACGCTGCCACATCAGACGCAGCCCTGGCGCGGGCGGAGGCGCTGCTCGCGCATGGGGAGCTTACGGAGGTGGCGAAAGTTTTGGAGAGCGCATTTAAGGGGACCGGGGCGGAGACTTTAGTGAAGAAGTGGGCGGAGGAAGCACGGAGTCGGGCGGTGGCGGAACAGGCGGTGAAAGTTGTTCAAGCGCAGGCGACGGCGTTGGCAGCTAGTTTGAGCTAGCGGAGAGCTGAGGCTTAGGGTGGTACATCCAGAATAAGGGATCAATTGGAGGTTGGTTGCCATTGTCTCGAAGTTGTTCCAAGCGAGGATTTCGGGTGTCGCTAACGCAAGCCGAAGTCATGTGGCTTTGCCAGTTATGCAGCTCGCATGAGCAACGTGCTGAGCAACAAACATCGACAGGGAGTGGGCCGGTCAGCAGCTATATGGTATCTCGCCTCGTTTTCCATTCTTTTTTGCCAATGGAGAAAAGAGACTTACTGAGAGGGTCTCCGTAGAATCTGTTTTTCGACTCCGGTGTATTACGACAACATTCAAAGAGCTGCAAATCATTCTTCATCCAAAATTGCGAATCATGGGCCGTCAAATCACCAACAGGAGCATTATAGGGTAGGCCGGGCCTTGCGCAGTATATCAAAATCGTCATGCCGTGCTACACGTGCTTATGTTGGTCACCGTGCCTCAGGCCTGACTTGATGCATATTTTGGACATCAACTCAAGCATGCATTTGGGCGGTAGAGTTGACGCCGACGCAACCTGGCAATGGGCCCTGGGTGGGCCCTGCGTACACATGACAGTTCATGCCCGTTTGAGTTGACTAGATCATGAAGACGTGGTAGCCAACCTACGCCGCGACTTTATTTATTAATATACCTCTAATATACTGCTACGTGCATGACGTATATACGCGTGGAGAACCAATGCTCCGATTGTATAGTTGGCCGCGGGCCCCTAGCTGGTTCAATAGATTCTTCGATGCATGCAGAAAGCTTGCCACGGCCATGGTGTGCGGTACAGGTATTCGTATGCAAAACATGCGTGTACTGAGATCGATTTGCATGCATGATTACAATTCTAGCAATGCAATTGACTAGTCGCCAAGTCTTGGCAGAGAAATTGAGTCTCGATGTTCGACATTGATTGGCAACATCGAGTGATCGAGCTTAATTGTTAATTGTATAGCCTGCAAGTAAGCAAGTCACAATGATTCAAGCTGAACCGAGGGGTAACCTGCAACTAGTCGTGCATTTAGAGCCATCATGCAGGACGTCATGATCATGCAATACTAATTGACCCCAGCTAGCGGCCGCCATGCCGGATCAGCAAATTTCCTGGCTGGGCCCAGGCGGCCTATATCTGATGTCATCAATTTTAAACCCGTGCTAGCCATGCATGCTGTCGTACTACATACTTACCTCTGCTTCGGATGCCAGTACTAGGTACTGCAATCTCCTGATCATCGGAGGTGTACGTGTTCAAAATATCTACAACACCGGCCAACTAATAACCGCCTATGTCAAAGGCAACCACGATACGGGGGCAGTTGACGCGCGCTGTTACACAAGTTACACAAGCTGCATGATTGACCGTCCGATTAAGAAACAAGCGGTTGCGATGACGGAATCCGCAATGCCCGCGCCGCCGCGCGCGGCGATGCAAACTTTGTTGAGGTTTCACACTGGCAGAGTCTAGACCTGTGTCTTCAGCTGGCTTCAGCTGCATTCCAGACGGCCAGAAATCTTTCAGGCACCGAGATGCTGCTCATATGCGAGTCCCACACTTGAAATCAGGCCCGCAACTCCCACGTGCTTCTTGCCAACCATGCAAGATCAAAGCAGTACCATTAGCAGTACCATTAGGTACCGGTAATGCATTTTAAGCTACTGGGGAACTAGGTAGGTACTATAGGTCAAATTAAAGCAGCCAAATTAGGGTCTAGGTTGTCATACCTGATGTGAACATTGAATCACTATGCCTCCAATATATTTCCTTGCATATACGCATATGCTGGCTCTTTGAAGAAGGGCATATGCATTCCATTGACACTCTTGAATCGCACTTGCACGGCGTGATCTGACGCTTTCAAGAATCTTGTCAGACCAGCTGGAGAGCAGCCGCGCTGGATCGACTCGGACAATGGAGAATCTGCATTCGTGGCTCTAGGCTTAGCTACTCCTAGGTATTAGTAGAGCTCAGTTCATCGGAAGGCTATAGCGGATTGAATCGTTGATTCCGGCAGTGTCTGCTATAGCCTACTGCAGAAGTCGCATCGGTCAGCTCCGCCCGAATTTCGTTGGAAAGAACGAAGGTGGTACAGCCCAGGAGACATGTGGCACATGTGACAGTCCGGGGGGCCTGGAAAGCCGCTGCTAAGGGAGCGATCTGAGATCTGCATACTATGAACAGAAGGGGAGCCTCGTTCCTCTGCATCGATTCTGTATCTTTGAGTGGCACGAACAGCTGCAGCTTTGAGAAGACATGACGAGCTCGAGGCAATCGGCTCCTGGTGCGTTGTTCAACGGGGAAGGCAGCTCAGTCTTGACGGGAGTTGGCTGAGCTGGACAGAAGCTGAGCAGTTACATCGGCATTTTCAGGGGGCGTCTACTGACCGCAATCGTTCGTTTCAAAGTGTTGCGGAGCTACTTCTGTGCTAGCATACCTTAGGGCCTACTCACAACTCCTGCCAAGATCCTCAGCCTTGATATAAGGGAAGAGTCAAACGACGAGCTGCCACAATTTGAAAAGGAGCCTCGCCCTTGGAACATACTGCTAGGGATCATGTGTTGATGTTAGCAGAACCCCTGTCACCATGGCTCAGCTCTTCCAATGGCGGCTGCGCTACTGCCAACTGCGAGCCCTCCACCCCGTGGGTCGCTTCTACGCCATTGCACTGGCCCTGAGCATCCCGCTGGCGTTCATGCTCTTTGCCGCACACCGGGACCTGGTGACGCGCGCGCAGGAGGGCGGGGCAAGCTGGCTGACGTCAGCGGAGCCGAGGTTGACGTCAGCGCGGCGATACGGGACAAGGATTGGTGGGGTCGGGCAGGAGTTGGGCGGGGAAATGTTGGAAGGGAGAGAAGTCATTGAGTATAAGTATACGTTTGAGAGAAGCACCACGGTGCGGCCTGCTGGGATTGGCTGGCCGTTTGGGCGGGCGGGGATCGCGGGGATCGTTTCCAAGTTGCTACAAATGACCAGTCCTGCAAAGTCAGCGAAAAACAGCATAGATTCTGCTGAGCAGTTGGGAGGCCCGCTGAGAGTCTACATGTACGATCTTCCGGCGCAATTCAACTGGGGCATAATAGACAAAAGTTGGGAACATTCTCGATTCTCAAACACTACCAATGGCGTGAACATAGGTGGAATCAGCTATCCTTTGTACCCGGGCAGCGTTTCAAGAAAGCAGCACAGCATCGCTTTCTGGCTGACGTTGGATCTACTGTCAGCTGCGCACCACAATGCAACTAGAGCGAACTGGGAAAGAGCGGCCGTCAGGGTGGCGGACCCAAAAGATGCTGACGTGTTTTTTGTGCCGTTCTTCTCGAGCCTGAGTTACAACGGAAACTCGCACAGAAGCATCATGGAACAGAGGTGAGGACCGTATCGAGCTGACTTTGGTGATGATATCATTGCGCAGTTTGGAAGCTACATGACGTAGGTTTCGATCACGTCCTTCGCTGTTTCCTCCTTCACAGATCGTTGAGATTCTCTTCCTTCAAGAAGGGCCAACGTCTCTACTATGGATCTTGGGATAGAGATAAGCACAAAGTTCTCGGGTTGAATGGTTTGGCCTCGAAATGAAGAACGCCCAAGCTTTGTAGTTCGTCGAGACTTTGTCCGCTGTCTGTCAAATGCTCTTCTTCTAGTACCTCGTATCTATCTTCTGAATACCCACATAAATATTACGGCTTCTGTCGGAAGAAGAGATACAAATTCAATTGTCAGTACCTCATTCCTTCCTTGTATGCTCGCGAAGACGCATATCACTTCGACGTTCGCCAAAATCAAGCGTTGGCGAAAATCATAGCCTCAAGTGGATCACCCCCCAAGTTTCGATATTTTCCGTGCCGTCTGTGAGATTCAAGATTCGGCCTGCAGGAGCGTACAGCTGGCTTTCGTTGATTGGCTGACGCAGCAGCCCCCCTGGAAGGCGTCCGGCGGCTCGGACCACGTGATCCCCGTGCACCATCCTAACGCGCTGAATCTGTGCGCGCACATGCTGCGCAGCGCGCGCTTCATTGTGGCGGACTTCGGACGCCAGCCGCGAAAGGTGAGAGGGAAAGACTTTTGAATGATACAAGATGCATGTGATCACAGGGACTCTTTCTCACTTCGAAGGGCACCCAAGGTTTGCCAATCTTTGCGGTTGCGAGCTCGGCAGTCGCACGAAGGGGTTTTTAACACACAAGAAAACGAAAAAGTCTCTATTGGGGCGAACGTCCCGCTCATGAAGCCGCTGTTATAAAGGGGGCGTGCACGCTTGCTCTCGCAAGACGGCCGAAGCAACGGGTCGACTACTCCACAACTCGCCATAGAGTCGCCCGAAGCCTGACGTCTGTACTCCTTTCATGGGTGACCTCCGAGCGTAGAGTTCCTCTTCCGCGTCGCTGGATTGACAACTTGGATACAATCAATAACTGGGATACGATCACATCGTAAGTCAACAATCTGGTCTGGCTCGCAGGTCTCTAACGAAGCAAAGGACATCGTCGCGCCGTATAAGCACATGGTGCCCACGTACGTGGAGGATTCCGCCGGTTGGGAAGCCCGCAAGAGCCTTCTCTTCTTTCAGGGCCAGCTGCAGCGGAAAGCGGTGAGGCCGGCATCGATCTGTGCACGAGATGTCTCACCTTTGCCGGTGCCTTCACGCCTTCCGAAGCTCTCTTGCTTCCAACTTCTCAAAATCTCCGCCAACTCTGCCACCAAAACACCGCGCGCCCTTGTTCAATGCCGAACCACCATCTTGATCCTCGCAAAATCCTGTCGTCAGAACCATCCCCTTGATATCTCATCCGGTCCGAACCCCGCTTTATCTTGTAGCACAGGTTCTGTGAACTTGGCCGCTCCCTTTGACTTCGATTTGCACATTCGCAATACTCAAGCCATCCGGAGCGTGCATCTGCTTACTCGAACGGCGGACAATCTCTATACGACGCGGAATCGAGTTGCGCAGACGGCCCGATTTGAAAGACCTGCAGTACCTTCTGTCTAACAAGTCGATTCACAAGTTTCTCACGGTCGCCCTCTTTTTCCTTCCAGGGCGGCGCCGTCCGGCAGGAGCTGCTCGGCGTGCTGGGCCGGGAGACGGGCGTCGTGATGCAGCCCGGGCGGCCCAGCTCGGTTGGCGTGGCCGACGCGGCGACACGGATGCGCGACTCGCGCTTCTGCCTCATGCCCGCGGGTGAGTTCCGGCGGAACCGCAAACGGTCTGTGCCACTATGAGGAAGACGCCGGAAAGGAAATAGGTAGAATCCAATTACTCCTCGGAAGGGGTGAATCTGTCAGCTTCTCATTCTTGAACCAACCAGTTAGAGCGACCGAAGATGAGGAAGCTACTGAATTGCCGTCTTATTCAGTGCTTCTTAACCATCGAAAACTTTTGAGCTCCTTCCAAACATCCAGAGAAAGCCTTCCAAACATCAGAGAAAGCGAGTTGGGAATTTCCATACTACCACCAGAACCTTGCGAACACGTCTTTTCATGCTGGTGTTCAACGCCATTGGAAACCACCGCGCCCCGGTTGCGTGAGCGGGGGCATAGAAGGCTATTCTTGATTACATCTGAGGAGGATGCAGCAATCGCGCTAAACAGGGTTCTCTTAATTTAGGTGACACCCCGTCCTCGTGTCGCCTTTTCGACGCCATCGCTAGTCACTGCGTCCCGGTTGTGGTGAGCGACCAACTCGAGCTGCCCTTTGAGGACGTTCTCGATTATACCCGGTTCGCGATCTTCGTTCCGGCGGAACGCGCCGTTCAGCCGGGGTATCTGGTCGGGACGTTGCGGAATGTCACGCAAACAGAGTGGGAGGCCATGTGGCAGCGCCTGAAGGAGGTACGTCGACGCGACACGTGTCAGCATCTGACGCTCAAGGAGCGACGAAGTTTGCTGACAATGACCAAGATAATCTGTCAATCTCGCGCCTCTTTAGACACAGCTTGCGCAACACACACATGGTGATTGTGGTAGCCGGTTTTCCAAACTGGCTGTAGAATTCGACAGGAGCATCCCTTTCGAGATCAATACATAAGTTCCGGAAACACCGTGAGGCGAATCAGTGAACGCCTCGAGCCATGCGTTGTTTAAAGCACCTACCTACTCTTCTCTTGGCGCGTGATTTGAACAATGATGCTGTCGCTATCGATCTCTTCGGTACGGCAACTCTCCTTAGTTCTCTCTCGTTCTCGTGATTTCAAAACTTCACCAATGCCGAAAATGCAAGGATAAAGCTGCTAATTATCCCTCTTGGACTTTCTTGCAAACCGTGAATTAGATTTCAATTTCGGTATTTTAGCCAGTCTTCTCAACAACCTGCAGGTGGACAAGTACTTTGAGTACGGCTACCCCCCTCAACGGTTTGGCAGCGAGCAGATGATCTGGCAAGCGATCGGTCGAAAAGTTCGCGGGGTCAACCGGGGGCACAACCGGCGGAGACGGCGCGAGGTACTAGGATTGCCGCCGTGAGAAAGTTTGATTCACAGATATAAGCTGTCCATCAGGACTTTGTATTGTTAAATCAGTGTAAGACCGGCAATTGTCAACTGGCCTTACGTTAGAAACACCCAGCCCAACCGTGGGTGATCGGGTAGGCCAAGTCGTTCAGTCTCGTCTCGCAAAGCGTTGAATCCGGTACAATTGTTTATGCTCGCAGTGAGTTTCTGACGAGCTCGTAGCCAAGTAGCAATGTCATAGAGAGGATCGAGATCACTGTCGCAATAAAAGCTACTGGAGTGCTTTTAAGCAGGCTTGAAAGAGCTTACCATAACATTGGTCTGCCCATAAAGTGGAAACTCCACGCCGATAAAGGTCAGCAAAGCATGCAGTAGGGGCACACAAATATCAGTATCGAACTGAAGAAATGCTGCAATCGCAAGACGTATAGCATTGGTAAGACTTGAACGTCCAGCTTTTCTGTCAGTATATGTGATTCTTAGTCAGAATTCGTGCGGTCATAACGGCCGGACTGGTTCCTTTAGCATATATTGAACATTCAATGAAGTTGGTACGAGTTCGCAATGTGGCCGTCGCAATGTGCTTGCGCCTCTGACATCCAAAAGCTTGGCATCGCATGCTATGAACCCCAAAGAAGAAGACAGTCAGCCAGCTTGTGCGAACAGTCTTAAGACGCTTAGTCAAAAATCAACCTTTCTCGGAACGACTGGAATGTAAAAACGCCAGATGATCTCCGCGAGCCACAATGACTTTGCCACATCCCGTATGGGCTGGCTACGTCTCGTACGGTCTTAGCTTACGTTGCGGCAGATCTTGATGTGCGAGCGCGCGCTCCCTCTTGTTCCGTTGCTGTACATACTATCTTACCAAGTCTGATGAAAGGGAAGCGGTGCTAGCAATGCTGTGCAATATCACACCCTACGAACTCATCGATTTGTATGATCAGTCTGGAAAAAGGTTGATGAGGGTGCGACTAAGTCCCAAAGATCGCCGTCAGCCTTCTGAACGCTTAAACACCAACCCTAGCTCTGATCTTTTGGCCTAGATAGCGTGCACATGTAAGCTTTGTTTCCGGGGTGACTCTGCCGCGCTGCTGGCTCTTGATCTGCAGCGCCAATGTAGTCCCCATGTAGTCACAAGCAACATTTGACCCGCCCCTGATCATCTTCCTGTTCATATGCAGTAGGTACAAGTAAATGCAGTGGATACTTGGCGGCCAAAAGTAAGCAATTAACCAGCCCGATCAGGATCATTGAAGTAGCAGATGATGTATGCTGTACGTCTTTAAGGTTCTAGGGGAAAAGCAGGTTGAAAGAGGAACAAAGACCGGAGTACAGAGCCACAGCTAGATATGGCAGTATCGTTTTGAGGACTTTGTCATCTTGGATCGGCTGCAGCTTTGGTAGCTCCAAACAAAATAAATGGGGGCTTCACCACAAAGCTTGGTTGTGGCGAAAGAAAAGAGGACGGGGAATGCTTCCTCAACGAATAACTCTTGCGAGGAAGACCAAGCTGAAGCTGGCAAACCAACGAACACAAATCAGCTTCGACTGGCATCAATCGACATCCAAGGATTCAAATCTTACAGGGACAAAGCACAGATCGGACCCCTTTCGAGCTTTACCTGCATTGTGAGAGTTGTCAAATCCTGCTGACGTTCTCTGGTGTTTGTAGCACAAGAATTGATTGTTGTGTAGACTCTAAGAAACCCTTGCTCTATATAGCTTCATGAAATTGATCTCTAAGAATGTGTATACAATTGCTACTTTGTTTCGCGCTACTTCATAGGAAGCTTTTGATCATCCTCCAAATGTCAGCACAAGTTCTTTACGGGAATATTTTATCTCAGATAACTCCATTCTTGCCTTCAACAGGTTGGGAAGAACGGCACCGGAAAAAGCGTGATCGGAGAAGCAATTGCCTTCGCTCTTGGTGGCCAAACAAAGAATATGCGAGCGAAAAATCTTGCGGCTCTGGTGAATGATTCTCTCCAATTATCTTCTGGACATCAAGGAAATGCAGAGGTAAGCTGGTCTGTAAGTTGAAAAGCATTTGCAGACTTGAACGGAGACCGAATGGTAAAGTAGTACGCAATCTCGACAAGAATTGGTAAGACGTATAGCTCTCTGCGAGTCTAGGTTATTCTCCTTCCGAGTTATTGAAGATCTGGAGAGGTCTTTGACACGGAAACTGCAAAAAGGAAGAAGGAAATCCCCTACTTCTTACAGAGTTTGAAGCTGTTTGCCTTCTTTTCACGTGCGCGACCTCTTATTTCCGGTGTCCACTATACATGGAACTCTTGATGAAGTTTTCCGAGATCCAGTCCTGCAATGCAGAAGCAGCAGAAGTTCGTTAGCGTTTACATGAGCAAATGGTCGAATGCACGTTTTAGCATTCGACTAGCATTTCAAAACGACCTTCATGCAGGTGAAGCTGAACTTTAAAGATTCAGAAGGGCAGGACTTGCTCGCAATCAAAAGAACCCTCCACGGAACTACCAGCACCTACTCTGTCTCAGGTCTATCTGAGGAACCCGAGAGGTTAGTAAAGTCTGCTTTCCATCTTCCAATATGGTTAGCGATCAAGCATGTCAACGATAATCGAGACGAATCCGGAGCCCGGAAGAAAACCATTGTCTAAAGAGGGGACTTTTATGACATGCAGAAAGATGAGCAAAGACGAGTTAGCCGACTTCTTAAGGTCCGCGCACAACGTCCCAATCGCTGCTATAGACAGGTGAGAAGATTTTCGGCAATTCTCCATAGCGCATGAGCCAGGTCTCTCTGAGAATTTTACGCTCTGACCTAGCCCTTGACCGGCAAGAAGCTCTACATAGAGGATGTGAAGGCATAAGCGAACATGATGCCGAATAAAAAAGCCGTTTCCTCCATTTCTGGCGCAGCATCAAAGATCCAACACGTGGGCAGCAGCTTGTGGTTCGCAGATCAAGAGGCAGCAATGACATACTCAGCTGCTTCGTGCAGGTTCATCGTGATGCAGAATCGGCAGGCTGTCAATGTCCAGAACCCTTCTCTTCTGGCAAAGGTTTGTGATTACTGACCTGAAGCTGTTTCTTTTCAATCTAAGAGTTGGTCTGCAAGTTCCAGGACAGGGATACAAGACTTCCTAGCTTCGCTAAGAACTCCGATCTCACTCGGGCATATTGAACGTCGTAATTCACCAAGAGACGGTTTGAGCTTCGTCAAACTAATATTATGCCGTTGCTCTCTTTGCAGAACCTTGAACATCTCATTGGAACTGATCACTTCGAAGAGAGGATCCTGCAGCTGAAAAGCTCCATTCACACATTGACGGAGCAGATTGAGGCTTGTCACGGAGACGTTTCCTTAATCGAGGAGGAGCGAGAGCAGCTTCTTCCTCAGGTGCAGAAGTGGGAAAGGTACGGATCCCAACAATATTGGCTGCACGACCATGAAAAACTTTTCTCGTCCATTGATGCGAAAGATGATTGACTTGCTGCACGCAAAGTCGCATCACTAAAGACCATTTTTGAGACCCAACTCATTCCTACTTTTTGTTGCGATCAGGTACAACTCTCGGATGGTCGACTTCAGACAAAAGAGGGTAAGCTTCGTTCCCTTCGACTGGGGATGGGTGACTTGCTAAAAATGTTTGATCTCTTTGCGAAGAAACCCTGTTGAAGCAAGCGTCTGACGTACCTCTACGAGCACGATAGTTATACGACAGCTGATCGGGTTCCTCTTCCTATCTTCATCTACTCATATACAGAACAAGCTCTTCAAAGCACAAGCCGAAGCTATCAACACCCGGATGGCTCACCTGAACAAGTCTGTCGATACGGACGAAGCAAGGCTGCTAAAAGTTGAGAACGCAGAGAAGGTATCATGTTCCCTCTGCGTTCGCATACAATTGTGGTATTTGAACGTCAAGTTTCCTCTCTCTCACTGCAAGTCGTTGGCCTTGAACAGAAACACACGACATGCCATTCCTTGACTTCACAGACAGGATGGACGAAAACTCTTGTTCCAAGCGCAAGCAACGGAAAAAAAGCTCCGACGCAATTTGGAAGATCATCACAAGCACCTGAAGGACCTTAACAAGTCTCTGGAGCACCTGAAGCTCCAGGTCGTGAAAGCCGAGGTGAGCGCGCAACGCTGTGCATTAGGACCAATATCTGTAGTGCTGTAAGGAGATGAAGAAGCACATGCTACAAGCTGGCCCACCCAAGAAACACAGCAGAATCCAATTGAATTTGCTTCAACAACGTTTCTCCAGAGCTAGCTAATTTTCGAAGTGGAAACGTAAAACGGTGGTTTCTACTGGCGTCAAACTTGCAGGTGCAGCTTTCCGAAGCCGAAAAAGAAGCACGTTCTAAGAGACTCCTACAAGAAAAGCAGAAACAAAGCCGAGCGAAGAAGCGAGAGAAGTGGGAAGCAGAACTGGAAGGAGAGAGGAAATGTCTCGAAGCATCCTCATTGGATATAGCTGAAGCGGAGGAAACGTGTCAGGAACTTGAGATGCAGCTTAGGAAACACGACAAATATGCTGATCAAGCAAGAGGCAGCCGCATAGAGCTGGATGTGATGGGAAATAAGATTGCGGCAATCGACAAACGTGCACACAGCCTGCAGGTAAATCTGCTGCCCCAACTACCAAATCAACATGTTGAAAAGTGCTTCCAAGCATCTCCGCCACTTTCTCAAGCAAAACACCAGATTCTTTCCTCGTGCAACTATCTCATCATGCTTATTTTTCCTTGCAGAGCCGGTTGAACGAGTTGTTTAAGAAGCAAGAGGCAGAACGGAAACGGTTGAGCACCCTTCACGAAGAGGTAACACCGCCGCAATCGTCAAAAATTTCTGCCTCAATACTCACAGGCGAATGTTTGTCTTCCTAGAGCATCGATATATCCTGTGGTTAAACTCGCTCATTTCAACAATTTCAATGTGCAATCAGGGACAAACCTGGCTGATCATGACTTACTAGGAAGAGGTAACACGTAATGCTGTTGATCCCTTTGTTGCAGATGAAGCACTTGGAAAAGTTGGTCACAGTGACACTTGCGGAGAACGTCTCAACAATCGATGAAAAGGCCAGGGTGACCCAGGAACTTGCGCGGTTGGAAGGAGAACTAGCAAGAAAGAACACTGCTGTGCTTCCCGCCTTGAAAGGGGAGTTGACGGATCTAGAGGTGAGCATACGAGCCTCCTCTTGGTTTCAAGAAAGTGTTTCAGGTCCCAGACGCACGTCGCGAGAAGTGGCGGAATAAACATCAGGCAATTGGGGCTAGAAGACTATTATGTTGCCCTGTCACCAGTTCAGGCCATATGAAGGGTCCACCATCGCGCAGAATGCCAAAAGGTTCAGTAAGGTCACGTGTTCATGAACGAAATTTTTAACTAACATCAGTCAGGAAATCAGGCTAAACATCTCTTGCAGGTCAGACTCAGTGCAGTGCAGCATCAAAAGGAAAGAGCTGCAACTTCAGAGGACGATCGATTCCGGAGGTTTGACGAAGCGGCGTCGGACCTGAGAACCTGCTTCGGCGGATCTTTCTTCGGCAGAATTCAAGACGTAGCGGCGGCGCCCCAAGAGTTTCTCACGGCGGTCAATGCGGTTCTCTTTTCCAGCATGAATCTTTCTTCGAGGTCAGAACACAAAGATCGATCCGCTATAGGTTCTGATCATGCTTTTTTCTTCCATTTTATGCAACCTAGCATTTAGATGCCTCAGAAGATCACATTCAGGGAAACCACATGACGTTGAAATACGTTAGAGCACGCTTAGAATCTTTCGAACTAAATTTGTGCACCAGTGTCAGTCCTCCTTCGATCGCATGTGATTGCTTTGCAGTTTCATCACCGAGGACCGGCACACGGCAAGTCAGGTGCTTGAGTACTTTAAGGCCAACCGGATTGGGCTAGCGTCTTGTGACATTCTGGCGGAGCTGCCAGACCCAAGGCCTTTGTCAGCAATTTCTCTGGGACCTCATGCAACCCCATTGGCTTCCAAAGTTCATTCGTTCGACAAGTTTCAGCCAATCGTGAACAAGTATTTCGGCAACTGGGTTGTCGTTTCAAATTCTCTACAAGCAGTGAGAATCTTAGAGTCAGCGGAGGCAAGGAGAATGAAGCCCTTCAATATCGTGACCCTCTCGGGAGAAATCTTCAAGAAGGTGCGTTCCGGAACCCCTGCCTTCATCTCCGAGAGGTCAGAAATGCCCGCCGATGTAATGCGGGTAAAAAAACAAGGCTCCGTTTCAGATGTTAGACGTGTTGTTAGTCCTCACGCCAAGCCAATGCAAGTGCTTGTTCCCACTAGTAACCCCAGAACCGCAAAATCAAGCGAGTCAAACAACTAACTGAACCAATTACGGTTGACCTTACAGGATGGTGAAGTGTCAAAGGGGTCATGCAAGACTGCCACAGGCTCGAGTAAGTACTTTATGGGCACAACTGTTGGATCTAGAGCGACTCCAGTTCTCCTACCAGCGACAGATCAAACGACAACTCGTAAAGAGGAACTCTTGAAACATATCGACACACTCAAGCGTCAGGTTGCTGCCAAGGAAGCAGAGGTCACTCAAGAAGAACAGAATGCAAAAGCGCTACAAGGAGCAATACGGGTTTTGGAACGACAAAGAGAGCAATCAGATCTCCGTCTGAAGAACAATACTGCGAGTCAGATGCAGAAGAAGCTGGCTGCGCTTCAAAAGGAAGCAGCAGATTGCAAGGCAAAAGCCGCTAAGGAAAGCAGTTCTGCTGATCGCTGTCAACAAGAATTGAGCGAAGTGGGGACAGAAAGAGAATCTCTTGCTCAAGCATACCAGGAATCCGAGGCACATGGCGATGACCCAGAAGTCTCTGCATTAGAACAGAGACTACAACACACGGCTTCAAAGCTCCGCAAAAGCAGGAGTGATGTCAGAAAGAGGCGCTCCAGGATTCAATACCTCGAAGCCCGGTTGCTTGACTTGTTAGAAGAAGAAACTTCATGGGACCCGAAGCGAGAATCTGGAGAAGTCGTTGCAAGGGTGGAGGCAACCAAGGAGAAGCTTGAACGATTGAATTCAGAGGCGAAAGCGGTCGAAGACGAAAGCAAGAATCTGTAAGTGATGGGAACACACGCGTTGTTGGCTTCTCCATCTTCTTTTTTGTGAGCAATAAATGGTCACTTTCAGTCGCTGGAGGATTTCGAACGATATACATGTTGATAACCGAAAGTCCTGAGGCGCGAATACGAACTATGTTATGCTTTCCAGAGAACACGAGAGGGAGGCTTTGCAAAGGCGGCAACTGGAGGCCAACAAAGCTGTGAGCAGTGCGATAAGGGACCTGGAGAAGGTTCGACTGGAGAAGGTGAGGAACTTAATAGCGTACTCCAGGCAGTACATTCTAAACTTGCAATAACAGCTCAAAATTCATTGGCGCTCACTCGTCAATTTTCCCTTTAAGCACTACTATTCTGGTCATTTATGGACAGAAACCGTGCCTAACCTGACGAAGCCCGCCTTTCGCCTTCTTCCAGAGCAAGACGGAGGAGGAGCTAGCTGACCTGCTGGCGGAACGGGCCATGGCAGCAGAGAAGCTTGCTAGACTAGAGCAAGCGCTTGTCTGCGTGCCAGAGATTCCTCCCACGAAGCGGCAAAAACCGCAAGGCGACCCGGACACCGACGATCGGGACCGTGTAAACGCCCCTGACCCAGCAGAATCAGAAGATAGCGACACCGAAACGCTGGCCGACAGACTAACGAAGTTGGCAGAGGAAGAAGAGGAACTGGCCAACATGAAAAGGTGAAGATTTGAAGAAACAACATGGAGAATAGAAACGGCTGGCTGAATGAACTCGGTCGAGTTGATTCGATAAATCGTTAAAGAGACCTGAAATCGTTGAAATGGAGGCCGAGGATTAAGAGATGGCAGGCGAGGCCTTGTTTGGAACAAGAATATAAGATTTGGCTGACCCTGACTCTGATAAAGCAAGTGACATCGTTCTGGCAAGACGGGATGATGCAGTGGGGCTTGCTCATTAACTTCCATCCCAATTATTTGCAGATCAATCGATCCAGACGCTCTTCAAAGAGACGTGTGCTGCAGAAAAACCCTTGCGACTACTTCGCAGCGGCTGGAAAAGCTAAGCCTGGAGCTGCAGAGTGCAATAAGCCAGAGAGACAGCTTGGAGAACCAGCGCTTCGAAGCGTTCGTGAGCACCATGACGCAGGTACGTGCTGTGCGGAGGAACTTGTGAACGTAAGATGAAGTTTGAGCTCGTGGGAGTCAAAGTAGATGTGCAACCGCACATGCTTGCGCTGAATTTCGACACGTTTTTGGCAAGACGAAAGGGAAGTCCAAAATTTTCCAATGTAGTCCCGTTCGGAGGAAATCCTTGCCCGAAAGCTGAGGTTCTCCCAAACCACGCAGGTGAACCAGCAATTATCCAGCATCTACCGGAAGCTCACCAGACACGGGGATGCGTACCTCAGCTACACGGAAGACAAGAGCGTGCTGTTTGCCGACGGGGTCTCCTTGCTCGGTAAGAGACTGATATGCCCTTTCATTGACAGGGAATCGTGTTGAATATATGTAGGAATTTGCGTCTTCTGAGTGGGTCGCGCGCAGAGACCTCTCATCAGTTGATCTCCTTGACAGGTGGTCTCAGCTGAGCATCTAAAGCTAAACGTCCCCTCGATCGCTTAAAACCAAAATCTGCCGCCGTTTGGATGCAGTCCGACCCGACCGCCACAAATGGCGGAACTTCTCGACTCTCTCTGGTGGTCAGCAAGCTCTGGCCGCATTGGCCCTGTCGTTCAGCTTGCAAGCTGTCTTTCCGTCTCCTTTCTACTTCTTCGACGAGATCGACGGGTCCCTCGACACCAAAAATGCCCGCCTCATTGCTGAGTATATCAGGGTGAGCAGCCTGGCACATTGGATTCTGAAGAGCACTGCTACAGGTTTGAGTAGGACACCAGCATGCATTCGCAGCTTTGCACATCCTTTTCCGATGGAAAGAAATGCTTAGAAGTTGTTAATAACGTCAGGTGTGGAAACGCTAGCAACAAGATCCGGGAAGTTGTACAGGTGCATGAATGATCGCGAAGCAAGTAAAGCTCAACTTAAACGAAGAACTCGGGATACCTCACGGTGCAGGAGCAAAATACAGCCCAGTACATCGTCGTTTCGCACAAGCCGGAGGTCTACGAGTTGGCACGGACCCTCGTTGGCGTCTACCAAGACAAGCAAAGCTCAGCTTCACTGACTGTTCAACTCTAAGCCTTCGGAATTATGCAGAGTATGTGCGTTGAGGTTGCGTAGGAGAGATGCCTGGCTATCAAGACATACGAGTACAGAAGTCAGACTATAAGTTTAGTTAACAGCATATAAAAGCCATCGTGTTCATCGACACCAGCACGCATGAAGTTAACTCGAATAGATGGATCTGGTGGCAATTCGACAGGCTGGAAGCCACGAACCACATGCAACTTCAATCTCAGTAGTAATACCTGTTCAATGGCATTGAGGCACTTGCGTTTCACCATTAGGATTCATATAGATACAACGTTGATAAAACACTGCTTGTCATGTGTATACCAGAATCAATGATAGATCCTGCGATAACGGATGACCGTTATCTTGTCGTGTGGCTACGTCACCCATCATTTACCTGCACAAGAGAACCCTATCTTTTAAATGTCACTGAGACTCCACATACACCGCCTCTTCACATATACCTGTGGTAAACAAGAGAAGTCGGCCGGCTCCACAGAACCGCATCGACGGGCTACCAACGTACGTCGTGAATCTCAATGTGGAATCTGAGGGTTTGAGAATGAGCCGCCCACAGTCAAGGACCAAAAGTTTGACTCACAAAGCCTAACCAGTGGCCCATCGCTTATGCTGTATCTTGGTACGACCACAGCTTATTGCTGCTCTGAGCTCACAATCTCCGAAACTTTGGGTGTCGGGGGTTTCGGTGGGAGTGGGATTGAAGGCGGCCGCTCCGCTGGCTGCGAGGAGAGCGGAACCGGAACGGTATTGAAGCCGTCCATGGGCGGTAGGAGCTCCCGCGACTTGGGCCGCCGCTGCACCGACTCGTTGATCGCCTGCGGAACAGACACGTGGCAAGAAGCGGGTCAGTGTACGATGACGTCATTGATCAGGGGCCTGTCAGGCAAGGGCTTTTGAAGAGGATGATCATTCTGAGATTGAGAGTGGTGAACAAGATAAGAAAGTGGAAAAATGTAGCGACCCGATGCGTATACAGGAGCTGGTCGGTCTAAGTTCAATTAGAGAGTGCAGACTATCTAGCTTGCATATCGACTCTAGAAATGGAAGAAACCTCACTCAAAGGTCTAGATGACTACAATTGGCAACCGAGCGAATCTTTCAAAAGGCAGCAAATTGTTTGAGGTTTTGCTAGACACCGATATATCGACAATTTATGCCCAGATTAGAGGGAGTGCGGCCACGCAGATGCGCTCGCGCACCTGTGCCCGCTGCAGCTCCTCCACGCGCGCCTGCCGCTCCGCGAGCTGCTCGCGCAGCTGCGTGACCTCCACGCGCAGCGCCTCGACCTCGCGCACTAGAAGGTCGTTCTTCATGCTGGGCGACAGCAGCCCGCTCTTTCGGGCGGCCGCGCTCGCGCCGCTCGCGAGCGATTGGGAGCTCGGGGAGGTCTCCAGCTCGTTCTCCTTGGAGTCGCGCTTGGTGCGCGCCGCGGCCTGGGCAAACGCGTTAAGGCAAAGGGTTTAGCCGAGATTTTGGGTGGTTAGTAATAAGAGCGCGGCACAGAGGATCAAAAGATGAACGTTGCTTTTGGGCGGAAGCAGGGACTTAGTTTTGACGCTGTCTCTCTGGATCAGTTACATGTGGAAACTATGAAAGAAAGCCTGATCTGAAAGGAAGCCTGATCCAAATCAGTCTCGCCACGAATCTTTTTCCTTTTGCCGACAATCTTGCCACCGCCCACTGGGTTATGATATTTGTTCGAGGAGCAAGCATCTCGTATGCGGCCCGCGCATCGCGTACGGCTCACCTTGAGGATCTTGCATTCGCGGCGCAGCTCGTTGATCTCCTTGATGAGGCTCACGTTCTCCATCATGATGCGCCCGTTCTCCACCTTGTGCATCTCGCTGTCCTTCGTCAGCTTCTTCTTCAGGCCCTCCACCTGAGAATCGACCATTGTTTTGAGAAAATTTTGAAAGCTCTTATACCAATACCCGTCAGAGTATGTGAAGGGCCACTGAGGCTTCAAAATGCTATGTTGGGTTTGCGTCGCTTACGAAAAGCAATGGAGGGCTTTGCTAGCTTTTGGCAGTGGTGCATTTGGGCATCGGAGATTACTTTGTGTTTGGTGACCCATCCATGAATTCTGATGGCGATCTCGCATACAGCGTCTCTTATCAAGAAAACGCAACAACAGAGCTTCCCGGCGACAAAACCGGCACGAGCGATAAAGTGGCGCATCCGTCATTCGTTAGAGGCCCCCAGAAAGCGGCGTACGATCTGAAGAGCCAAGGAGGGGAGCAATAGCGCGCGCGCGCGCGCACCGTTCTCTCGAGGTACTCCCGCTGGCGGCCGTACTCCAGCAGGATGTCCGCGTCCAGCTCGACCGGCTTGATGGCCTCCGTCACGTGCTTCTGGTACAGCAGCTTCACCGCCTCCTTCAGCGCCTTCGGGTCCTGCGCGGCCGCGGGGCGCGGAGTTGAGAACAGATCTCCACTTTTCTGGTCTGGCGCGACATGATGTGGCGGCCGCGAATCCAAAGGCTTTGACGAACTTATAATGGACTTGAAAATGACCGGACGACGCCACGAAAAACGCTTTGAGCGGGGAATGTGCTGAAGGTTCGACGTGGGTCGTTACGCGGCGTTGCCCAAGTTTCTCTTTTAAAGGAGTTGTTGCCCTTCGTTGCCATAGCCAAGCTTTGCTCTTCGAAACATTGAAAGAGCCATGCTCTACTCACTATTTTTTAGAACTAGCTCCAAAAGAATCTATTGTTTCTAGCGATGAAGTATGTGGTCCACACCCGGGGTGCAGTTTCCTGTCCTGCTTATCCCAAGACACTAACCTTATTTACGCGAGGGCATTTGAGAGCTCTTTCTTTGCGCACCTGTATGTGATGCGCCACCTCGGAGAGGTCGTGGTGGAACCGCTGCACGAGCGCGCGCGCATCCGCGAGCGCTTGCCGCGCGCCCGCGACCTCCTTTTGCAGGCCGTCGATCTTGAGCTTCAGCTCGCCGACAACTAGATCGAGCGCGCCGTTCTGCTTGTGGTACTTCTCCAGCTCACCGTCCATGTCCTTAACCTGCGGGGTTAAGCAGCGAGGGTTGTCACTTGAGGATTCCAAAGTGATGCGAGTTATTAATCCCGATATTTAGAGATAGGAGAAGGGACAGGTTCGGAGTCAGTTACTCGGACAAAGCCTTTGATCAGACTAGCCGAAGCGGAAAGTCCGGCTGACAGTTTGGCAAACAGGACACCCGAAGATGCTTTCGAGGGCGTGGCTTCAAAGTTACTTCGTGAAGCAACCAGGTTTCCAAGAGATTTGTTTGCCCCAGAGCTAACCTTCAAAGAGGACCGAAACCTTCGTCCTTTTATCCACGACCAAGCTGTCAGAAAAAGGTGTTCAATCGTTGTCGTATCCGCTCTTAATCGGAAGGCGTTGAGTCCGAGCAGAAAAATGTTCTTCCAGGGGATCTTTTGAATTCGACAAAGAGTGAAGCCGTGTTTTCACTGTAGGAATAACTCCGGTTATGCAGGCTAAGAAAAAGGGGTTAAGCGCCTGACCTGGTCCTTCATGTCCTGGATCTCCTGCTCCCGCGGGTCGATCTGTTTCTTGAGCTCCTTGATCTTGTAGTCCAGCACGAACTTGAATTTTTCGAGCTCCTGGGGAAAAAGAAGGTAAGTAGAGGTTAAGCAAGTATCAAGTGCGGTTATCATCTTCAGCCTTGATTCGATATCTTCAAGGAAACTTACTCTACAAGCTCCTCAACAATGAGGACCGAAGCTCACTTTGGAGACTTGCTACTCATCTTCAACGTGAGTCGTTGATATTCGCTGGCGCAACGAGGCAACCCATGTTATTGCCAGGATGCTGCGGGAGACCGTCGAGCACGTATTGCAGTCCATGAAGCTGCGTCCAACAAAGGCTGGGAAACTTGAAACTCCCAGAACATCTCCAAAACCCCTCATTCTCACCTGGTTCTTCTTCTTGAGGTCGTATATCCGCTTCTCCTTGTCCCCGATCGTCTCGTCCCGTTCCTTAATCTCTTTCTTCAAACTCGCAATATCCTTCTCCAGACTGGCAATGGTCTGGTAAAGATCCTTTTTCTTCTCAAAGAGCTCCCGTATCTCTTCCTTCTGGTCCTCGAGATCTTTCTGGAACGCCAGCGCTTTCTTCTTCAGGATCCCGTTCTCGCCCTTCAGCCGCAGACCGACCTCTCGCTCCTGCGTCAGCTTCTGCTCATACCTGCGAGAATGGGTGATTCGAGGATCAATATCATATACGAAAACAAAATCTGTTGAGTAAGTGGTCTATTTCTTTAAAAGGGCATTGAGATCTAACGGACGTCACCTGTAAATGCTGTTTAATGTTTAGATTGCTTCGATCACATTGATTTTGACTGCAATTCCATGAAAGCCTTGCCCGTGCGATTCCGCCTGGACATGCGTGGCCTACGCCAATATGAAGGTGAAAGCTTCCGAGCACGAACCCGCGTACGAATACACGTTCGGGTAATCTCGGGCTTTCCATTCCTTGACATCCCTGCCCTAACCTGGCCGAACCACGTTGGCGAGCTTCTGATTTCAGATGACGCGCAGAGCCAGAATAAGCCTTCAAAAGACTCTTTTGACGAAACAAAGGGTTCACCGGGCTTCTACAACATCGGAGGCACGCGCGCGCGCGCGCTCAACACCTTGTGCAGGATGATCTTGCGCTCTGCGTCCGCATGCTGGCGGCCCTTCACTTAGGAGCTTCCGTCAACCAGACAGCACACCGTTTCGCAACTTTGCTCAAACCCCAAAACCCCAAACTCTGAAACCCCGCACCGCGCGCGCGCGCTCTCACCTCTCCTTGAGCACCTCGATCTCGCGGTCCGCGTCCTCCTCCATCTGGCGCTTCGTCTCCTCGTACTCCTTCGCGGCCGCGTCGCGCTCCGCCGCCAGCTTTTCCGCTTGGAGCCGCTCCTCGCCCAGCTTCGCCTCGTACTCTTCCGTTACTTCTGCGATTACGCGCTCGTGGCTGTCCGCTAGCAGCCCGTTCTGCTGCTCCCACCGCTCGTTCACCAGCTCTTTCTCCTGCGGAGCGGTGGAACGGCGGAAAGCGTGTTAAAGGTATATGATTAAAGGTGTTCGAAAGCTCCGCGATGACGCGCTCGTGACTGTCCGCCAGCAGCACATTCTGCTGTTCCCACCGCTCGTTTACCAGCTCTTTTTCCTGCAAAAAGGCGGAACAACGGAATGGGGATAACGAGGATGCAATGGAACTTTGTGAAGATGGCTTGGAAAATGAAAATGAGCGGTACTGAGTGTTTGAAAGTGGTTAGAAGCAATGTGAACTGGTCAAATGTCGTATCCGTTCACACAGCGGTCTTGTTTTCATCACTCGTCGAGAAAACCTTCCTCCTCCCACGAAATCAACAAAACCGACATGCGCGACAACCTTTCTCCGAACTTTGTTCTGTTCCGTCAGTTTTCGGAGCTTCGTGCGAGCCTTTCCTGTCATCCGCCAGCTTCCCTCTCGACCAGACCGTACAGAAGCTTTAACCATTTACTGGTCCAAAACCAACTTCTTAAATACCTCAAACCCTCAAAACCCCGCACCTGCGCGAGCTGCTGGTATCGCTCCACCTCGCCCATCAGCTTCTGCTGGTACTGGTTTTCGACCGCGGCCGCCTGCTGCGCGGCGCGCTCCTCGAACGCGCGCAGTTTCTCCTCGTACTCCGCCTCCATCTCCGTCTTCTCCTGCGCGAGCAGCACGTGGCGCGCGCGCGCCTCCTCCGCCTCCGACGTGTACTTTTTCGTCAGCTCCTTCAGGCGCTCGTTCAGGTTGAGGTCCTTCAGCCGCAGCTGGTACTCGTTCTGCAACGTCAGCGCTTGAACCTGCACAAAGAAGGATCGTCGAGTTCCAGTTGACGGCAAGACCGCACAGAAAAAGACAAAAACGTTGTAATTTCCCGCGGGCGCGCGCGCACCCGCGCCTCAAGCTCCGCCATTTCCACGGGCTTCTCCTGCAAATCATCAGGCCGGACAAAGGCTGGCCGCGCTGATAAAGCTAATTTGAAAGAGCGCGCGTGCGCACCTTCCTGCATTTTGCGCGCATCTCCAGCAAACAATCAGGGGAAAAGGACTGGAAACAAGCCGCACGAAAAACTCGAAGAGCGCGCGCGCGCACCTGCGCCTCAAGCTCCGCCATCTTGGCGCGCTTCTCCTCGAGGTCGCTCTTGGTGACGAGCACCTCCTCCGCCCAGGGGAGCGCCTCGCGCTCGCGCCGCCCGCCCGACCCGATCGCGACCGCGCGCTCGCGGTCCTTGACGTCCAGCAAGAAAAAGGCGCCGTCCTCGCCGACGCCCATCAGAATGGAGTCGTCCACGGACACGCGCAGCCGCGCGACCGCGCCCGCGCAGCATTGGATTTCCGAGTACTCGCCTGCGGGGTTTACCAGGTTTCAGGACTGGGCAATTAAGCGAAAGGATTGACGGACGTATGCTTTTGTTTGACGGACGTATGCTTTTGCGGCCGCCAAGAGACTCGGCACATCGAATGGCGGGTTGAATGCTCTACACCTAGAGACAAATAAATCTTCGTTGGGAATCTGTGACAGAGTCTGAAGAAAAGGGGCGCGGGATCGTCCTGGCATAAGGAGAATGTACGCCCCATGTTTCGTATACGTTCAGCTGCTTGATAGGTCGAGCATTTCATGTTGGAACCATTTGTCAAAGTCGGAATCTGCTTCCGCACAGCTGAAAGCTCCATGGGTTAAATTTACCCGTTCAGTTTCTGACCCACCTGTGAGGGGGTACTTGTACGCTCGGACGGCACCGGTGTCCATCGCCGCAAACAGTAAGCGTCCGAACGACGGCAGGACGATCTGCGTAATGATTCCGCCGCCGTCGAACTCCTGCAAAGGAGAGTTGGCTCAGCGCAGGCGATCAGTACCAAACTTTAACGCTTTATATGGGGAAGGTGTAGGTTCTTCTCACGAGAGGTGTAGTTGCGTCTCGAATTCAGAGCAAGCGCGGTTGGGATCATAAAACGAAGAAAGTGGCGCTAAAGCAGCCTCCGGGTCTAATAAGATTCTCTTGCGCAGCTAGCCGCTGCTGTTGTTGGCATCCAATCAATCAGAAAGAGAAAGCGCCTCAACGGTAAGAATTCTGGCATTTCAAGTACCACTATGCCGATTGCAACCTTGATGGCAAGTCGAGACGTCATGATCAGGCTCTTTCAGCAGCTCCCGGTCGCTGCACCAGCAGAGATGGACCGGCTATCGGCGGCTCCAATCAAGACGCGCAGCCGCAGCCCTTTGTCGTTTCCTTTTAAAGCTCAAATGTCCAGTCACCAAATGTTAGCGCCCTGAAACCATACCACCTACCTTGATAACTTGTGAGTCGTCCAGTTCTTTCAGCTTCCCATCACTTCCCCACCGCATATATCGACTAGCTATCCGTGTCTCCAAAACCAATTAGTAGCCGCAGCCGTTTCCTACTGCTTCTTAGGAACTAGAAAGTCAGAAGGTAACACCAAGTGAACGTAACACCCACCTTGATAACCTGCGAGTCGTCGAGTTCTTTCAGCTTCCAGTCGCTCCCCACCGCGAACTAGAGCTCCTGTCGGTTGTCTCTGATCAAGGCACATCACCGCAACCCTTATCCACATCCTCCTCAGTATTATAATTCTTTGAAACCCAATTTTCAACACAAGTGGGCTTCGAAAACCCACCTTGATAACCTGCGAGTCGTCCAGTTCTTTCAGCTTCCGGTCACTCCCCACCGCGAAGATCGAGTTGCTGTCGGTGGCCCCGACCACGCACGAGTAGCCGCAGCCCTTATTCACATTCTCGCGCTCGCGCTTAAAGTCGCGCAGCTGCCACTCGTACACCGCGCCGTCCATGCCGGCCGTCACTACCATCGCGTCGTCGGGCGACCACCAGATGCTGCGCACCTGCGCGCGCGCACTTCTGGGGGTTAGGGCTGAGCATTCAAGTAGATGCTCTTTTCGGTCGCTCAGAATCTGCCGCCATCGCGTCGTCGGGCGACCACCAGATGCTGCGCACTGCGCGCGCAAAAGTACGGGTTTAGAGGTTCAACTGGATTCTGAAATTTTACGACTCGTGGTATTCCTAGCCGCACCTTTTAAAAGTTTCCTAAGCGCTGGCCGCACCTTCTCAAAAGAATGTGTGCCTCTGCGTCCCCCTTTCTCTTACCAATTTCTTATCTTCTTTTGAGTCGATTTTGCTGAGATTCACAGTATGAGACGTTCATTTGGAGAGCGAATCATTTCTTTTATTGTCAGACACGGCGCATTCTGCTCTTTATAAACTATTGAATGGCTGGTAAACGTTTTAAGTGGGCGTGGCTAGCCGTCGACCGCACCGATCGCAGTGTCATTTCTGAAAGCTTTTGAATCCTCAATACGGACTTTATAAACCAATCAATTCGAATTGCATCCACCCACCTTTCCGTTGTGCCCCCTCAAGTTTCCCACATCCTCGCATGTGTATGTGGAGTAGATTTGGACCGTGTTTGAGTGGACAGCCGCGAAGAGGTGTCCCCCGTGACTGAAGCAGACTTCGAGCAAGCCTCCAAATCATAAATAAACAGATCGCATTACTAAGAAAATCCTCTGCGGTTTACCTTTCCGTTGTGGCCCCTCAAGTTTCCGACGTTCTCGCACGTATAAGTTGAGTAGATCTGGACCGTGTTGGAGTGGACTGCCGCGAAGAGGTGTCCCCCGTGGCTGAAGCAGACCTCGCGGCAGGCCTTGATGTTGATCTCCTTGAACGGCCGGATGTCGTCCATGAGGAGGTTCATCAGGCGCAGCTTGTCGGCGAAGCCAACGAGCAGCTGGAAACCTGGGGTTAAGGAGAACGTGTTACGATTCTAGTCAAGAAGTTTGTCAGGAGGATTGCTGCGCATCTCAGTTTGAGATTCGACGGAAGGTGGGATGTCGTCCATCAGGAGGTTCATGAAACGCAGCTTGTCGGCAAACCCCCAGAAGCTGGAAACCTGACATTGCGAACCGAGGATTAGGGACTGGTTTGGAACCGAGTTGAAAAAGAAAGTCAGGGCTCCGTTTGGCGGCCGAATGTCGTTCATTAGAAGATTGATCAGGGGCAGCTTGTCCACAAAGCTTGCCAGCAGCTGGAAACCTGGGGCTAAGGAAAGAACTGTAGATTGCAGGGTGCCCGGCACGCGAGAGTCTGACATTGAGAACTGAGAGACTCCAGAAAGCTCCAAGCGCCATTGAAGCAATATGTCATGACAGGGAGTCTAAAAGAAGTAGTCTTGGAAGTGACCAGACCCGGGTCCCTGGATTCCTGAGTTGACAGGTCAGATTGCTACGGAGGTTCTTAGACCTTTAGGCCGCGCTAGAAGCTGAGGCGGTCGCTCCCGAAACCCCTTCTTAGACACGAGAGTCGGGGGCCAGAAGACGCCCTTTACGGAACCGAGGCAATCTGGAGGCACTTTCGTGGACGCATCATGGACCTTCCTCCACAGTTGAACCACTTTGTGTCTTGTTGGCAGACTCCTCTTCAAGTCCAGTCTGAGATTTCAAGGTTCCGAAGTCGTAAAAAATCTTTAAGAACTGCAACGCAAACGACTCGGACGTCCGTCGTGCCCTCACTCGCATCGTGGATGACGACGGAGAGCGCTTGCTTCAAAAAGTCCTTCAAATCCTCCGAATTTGCAGATTTGGGTAGCCTTCAAAAACGAGACACCTGACGCCTCCAGCCCTTGAAATGTTTGGCGCTCACCCGCGGGGTGGATGGCGACGGAGAGCGCCTGCTCCGGGAAGAACTTGACGATGTCGGACGTCCGGTCCAGGTAGTTCCACACGCGGACGCTCTTGTCCGTGCTGCACGTGACCGCGAGCGGCTTGCGCGCGCACACGTCCAGCCCGGTGATGCCCTCCGAGTGGAACGACTGTGGGAGGAATTGGAGACAGAGATTTGAGGGGACAGGCTTTGGGGCCCTCCATCAAATAGTCTTATAGGTTTGAATAAAGGGTCTTGGAAAGGCGTTTCGTTGGGTGGGAAATGATCGAACCTGCCTCTTGGAAGGGAAGCGCTGCGTCTGATCAGAATATAATGCTTACCTTTCGTTCAGAAACTGTGCCCGAAACTGCGAAAAAAGCTTTGGCGGCAATCCTCCGCATACGCGTTGGTATCTCACGGTATCCACGGATCCGCCAACGGATCCCTGACTCCCGCACGAGAGCCCGCGGCAGAAGCAAAATCCTCAACTGAGTAACCTTCAACACTCTTCAGATAGAAATCATGAATCTTCGAAAACCTAAACTGTGATTCCGCCCACCTGCGAGAGGAGGTCGATCTTCATGTCCTCCGTCTTGAGCATTTCCACGGACGTGAGCGGGAGGACAAAAGATTGTCTATGCTCCGGCGAGCGCAAAAGATCACAGAAAAGTCAGAGGATTCAGTGCATGAAGAACCATTAACAGAGCGATGAAACCCTTCACTCCCACCTGCGAAAGTAGGTCGATCTTCATGTCCTCCGTCTTGAGCATCTCCGTGGAAGTGAGCGCGAGCACGAAGATCTGGTTGTTCTCCAGCGCGCACACCAGCGTCTCCTCGTTGGGGCTCAGCGCCAGGCTGCGGACCGCGGACGCGTTGCTCTCGATGCGGACCGTCCGAACGCGCTGTGGAAGAGAAGGCAAAATTTGTCGGCGGCAAAACAGAGGGTTAGAAGCTGAGATGACAATGAGGATTTCATTCCGAGCTCGTAAAGTGAAAAGCATGGTTCCACAGAGCCAGGCCAACACGTGTCTTTCGTGTCTTTAGGAGTGAGACTATGGATGACAGATGGTCTATTGTAGCAAGCACGCGGGATCCGAAACGACTGAGCTGTTCCTGCCCCACTCTCAGCCACGATGGCCACCTTGGAAAAAAGGCTTGATCTATATCCAAATTGCCAGAAGGTCTGCGCGGCAGGGCGTTGAAGAAAGGATGTGGCACAGTATTTATAAGCGGCCTTCATCTAAAAATTAGCAGTGTTGGGATGGTTATTCATTGACTCGCTGTGGCTTTGGGGTTTGGCTTTTGGCTTACCTTATAGACGTCCTTGTCTTCTTTCTCGAACATGGACAGCGTTCCCCCCTCCCCGCCGCAGACGAACCCCTTCGAATGCGCCGCCACGGAGAAGAATCCGCCGCCTTCTTCGGAACCCACGTGCGCAATCACGCTTTTTACCTGGGGTACAAAAATATGAAATCTTCATTTGAGAATGTCGAAACTTGGCGGTTGAACGTGTAAAGCGAATAGCACGCAGCTCTTGCGACAACTCCAAGATTCTGACTCGGGGTGACATCAGCGTAAGTTGAGGCTGAGCGTTTCAGCGGTTCAGCCGGCGCACGAGTGCGACTGAACAACGACATCCGATTTGCGATCAAAATCCCTTTTCTAATCACCACCCCCCTCCTTTCCCCCCAACAGATAAAAGCAACCCTTTACCTCCCCCCTCGACGGGCAACACCTATCCGCTCGCGCTCGCCACCACGCAGCGGTCCTCCTCTTTATATGCTATTTTCCCACTGCCAAATCTTACGAAGACTGGAGAACCGAAGCCAAAACTGATGAGAGTCTGCAAAAGTGCGAAGATGCGATGCTCACCTCCCCCCCTTCGACGAGCAGCACCTCCCCGCTCGCGCTCGCGACCACGCAGCGGTCCTTCTCCGCCTTTTCCGCTAGGTCCACCAGCCACGCGTGGCACGGGTACGGCTGCGGCTCTCGTCTCCCAAGGCTGGTCGGGAGCTGCTTCAAAGCTGCCTCTGTGGCCCGGTAGAGCCGCAGGAAGCCGTCCCCGACCGCGCTCAGGAGGGAAGGGTCCGCGGGGCAAAAAGCAATCTGAGGTGGACGAAGAAGCATGCAGTCTGACAATCTTGGTATACTAGAAAATGTTGTGGTTGACGGTTCAAAAGTTCAGTTGATGAGAAAGGTTTTGTCACCCGGTAGAGCCGTAGGAAGCCGTTCCCGACCGCGCTCAGAAGGGAGGGGTCCGACGGGCAGAAAGCGATCTGAGGTGGACAGAATATACAGTTTGTGGGAAAGTGGGGTGTCTAGTGACCCAGATGTTTGGTATTCGAATCCTGTTACCCGGTAGAGAGGCAGGAAGCCATTCCCGACCGCGCCCAGAACGGAAGGGTCGGAGGGGCAGAAAACAATCTGAAGTGGACATATTATGCAGTCAGAACGTTTTGTTTATGCGGATGGTCGCGTGTTTGATTGCCCGAATGCAGTGTCAATGGGAAGAACGATATTGCCGCAGAAATAGCGGTCCCCGGTTGCTTTTAGAAGGGAGACGAGTGGCAGGCAGAAAGCAATCTTGGGGGGTATAGCTGAGATATAAACTGGGGTGTGGCAAATCGAAGAAAGTTGCCCACTGAAAACAGTAAACATTCTGAGATTCTGTCATACGGGATCTAGGACGCCGATGGACCTGTATTATCGGAAAACGGGGTGGACAAACCACACTGATTGGTCTGTATGACATGAGGAGCTGGTTAATGAGCGAGCTGGTTGATGAGCAAAGCTGTGCGAAATCAAGGTGAACTGTGAACCGAAGCAGTCTCTTTGTGGGCTCACCTTCATCGTGCCGGGCAAACACGCAGGAGTCTGGCAGAGAGTGTCACGAGAAGCGCTGATACCAACGTGTTTGACGTGAGCCGTGGAGCTGACGTGCTCTTGACCGGCTCCTCGAACTTAAAGTTGGTATTGTTTCGAAGCAGGTACGACAAGAACTGAGTGTCAAAACCTTACCTGGTTGACCTGGGCCGCTGAGCTGACACTGCTCTTGACCTGCCCCACGCACTTGCCCTTCTCGTAGCTCCACAGCGTGAGGCAGCAGTCGGGGCACGCCCCCTGGGCCGCGATCAGCTTCC